ACTCAAGCATATATAATAATTTACATTTTTCCACCAGTTTTGAACTTCAGCAGTCTCTTCATTGAGGTTGACAGCCTTCCCTCTCTTGGCTCATCTTTGAGGCCTTCCCAACATTCCCTAAGACACTTGATCCATCTAAAAACTGTTGTTTTATGTGGCGTTGCATTCCCACAAACCTGGTGCTAAGCTTCAAGGATTTGGGAAAATGTCCAGTTGAACTGAGTTTTTGTTGATATTAGCTCTGACCTCAAAATCGTTGATTTCCATGACATACAAAGTTTCTAACAAGATCAAGACAAGTCTGCAGTTATCCAAGGACGGCAGGAACATTTTAAACACATTTTGTTTGGAATAAACCTATGCATAGATGAACTGGAACCCTAGAAGCAATGCTACGTTTTGACTTATCCTTGCATAAACACAGGTTTAGTGAGGTCTCCTGGTTGAGAGAAAGATTCTAAGAGCAGGGCTGGTTGAGAAAGCAGAGTGCAGGGGAGCAGACTGAGTCTGAAGCTGCTACCTTAGATCTGAGCTGGGCCAGTGCGCAGGGGAGCGGCCATGGCAGAGAGGTCCAAAGGCAGAGAGGCTCAATGGCAGAAAACTGCTGTTAGACTAGAGCTGCCATACTGGGCTATAAGCTGAATCAACAAGCATTGAGACCAAAGATAGAGAGGTGGACAGTAGGGAGTTTGACTACAGAAAACCCAATGATGGCGAGGCCAATGGCAGCGAGACCTTCACAGCAAGCAGGCAGCTGCCCAGCAGAGACGCCAATCAATGGAGTCTGTGTGCTTCCTGAACTTGATCCTAAGTTCTTCCAGTTACTTCCAAGGTGATCCTTATCCTGAGTGGCAGCTTATCGTGGTGGTTGTTTGTAAGTGCCGTGGAGTTGGTTCCGATTCATACGGACCCTGTGTAAGGATTCTGAAGCGTGGCTGGTGAATTTGAACTGCCAACCTTGTGATTAGCAAGCAGTCCAGTACTTATCCTATGGAGTCCTGGTATGGCGCTGTGGGTTAATGCTCCAGACTGCAAAGCCGTTTGAACTGCAAGGTTGGCGGTTTAAGCTCACCAGCTGCTCCTCAGAAACCCTATACAGGGTCGCTATGGGTCGGAACCGACTTTGACGGCACTTAACAACAACAACAACTTATCCTACAGTGCCATTCCAGGTTTTGTACCCTATTAAGGAGTCCTGGTGTGGCGCTGTGGGTTAATGTGCTGGACTGCAAGGTCTATTTGAACTGTAAGGTCAGCAGTTCAAGCTTACCAGCCGCTCCTCGAAAACTCTATACAGGGTCACTATGGGTCAGAACCAACTCAACAACTCTTAACAAGAAGTTCCTAATAAACCACATAACTGGAATCCTGGTGTGGCACTGTAGGATAAGCAAAGTTGGTGGTTCAAACTCACCAGCCGCTCCTTGGAAATTCTATACAGGGCTGCTATGAGTCGTAACTGACTCGATGGCACTTAACAACAACAACAATAAACCACATAACTATAAGTATGGTCTGTGAGTTGTGTGTGGCCATTGCAATGCATTAGTGAACCCAGCAGAGAAGCAGAGAATGCTGTGAGGGCAACAGCTACTGTCAGAATTGGTAAAAAGGTCGGAGAGTGGAGGCTATGCCTCACCTCCACCTCATAGGAACCAACTTTGTGTCGATCCTAATTCTTATCCCTCATGAATTGGCAGGATTCCTTACCCAGAATTACAACGAGTCCATTGATTTCCTACAAGAATGCCAAGGTCAGCAATTGAAACCCACCAGCTGTTTCACAGGAGAAAGATGAGGCGTTCTGCTTCCCTAAAGATGTGATGTCGTTGTTAAGTGCTGTCAAGTCGGTTCTGACTCATAAGTCACCCTGTATAGGGTTTATGAGGAGCAGCTGCTGGGTTTGGACTGCAGTTCACAGTCCAGTTTACACTCCCTACACCAGGAGTCCCTATAAAGATTTGACAGCCTCGGAAACCCTATACAGGGACTACCGGCCTTACAATTAACAGCCCAGCGCCTAACCCACAGTGCCACCAGGGCTTGGAATCAACTTAATGACAGCAGACCCCTAAGCTTACCCACTGACTGCCATTGAGTCGGTTCTAAGTCTTGCTGGTGCTGTAGGTTAGGTGTTGGGCTGCTAATTGCAAGGTTGGTGGTTCAAACCCACCAGCTGATCAGTAGGAGAAAGATGAGGTTGTCTCCTCTCACAAAGATTTACAGTCCCAGAAGCCCTGTATAACTCGATGGCAGTGGAGGCTCTTAAGGGCAACTTGTTACCCAGACATTGGTAACTGATACAACCACTATACTGTGATCAAAAATTAGCAGTTGCTTTGGGCTCTGAAGTTCCTAAAGTAATGCAAACAATGAATGTGCTTGCTTGCTAACCAAAAGATGGGGCTTCAAGTTCACCCAGAAGTGCTTCAGAAGAAAGTCCTGGAGATCTTCTTATAAAAATGTTGCCATCCCATTGAAAACCTTATAGAGCACAGTTCTACTCGGCCGTACCTGGGGTCCCTGTGAGTTAGAATCGAATCTACAACAGCAGGTGATGGTGGGTTTCCAATCCGTCCACACCAGCCCCTGATGATCAGGACCGACCTGCCTGCTCAACTTTATTTGCCAGCCATGATTTCAGGTCCGGGTTGTTTAAGGGAGTGGCCTGGGGGGTACTAGTTAAGTTTTGAAGGCTAAGAGCTATTTGAAGTGGGGATTTTGGGAACATGAAAGAAAAGAAGGCAAGGAACAGAGTACTACTGTTAGGGTCTGTGATGGGCAGGTATTTTTTCCCAGCATCCACTGCCCCTGCTTTTGGTAACAGCACTCCAAGATCTCTTTGCGAACACCTCTTCAACATTGTGTAAGTCTACCAAAATGCTCCACTCTCCTTGGGCCAACGATAGTGATCCAAGCGAGGCTAGCCCCTCATCAGAATTTGGAACCAGAGGATTGGGAGGTGGAGGTCCTGAAAGAACTGCCCACTGAGGCACCTCCTCAGGGCTGCCCTGCTCTCTGCCCTTTCTGATCCTGAATGCTTCCGACTGCCTTTCAACCTGGTGAGATTCCTCATACTCATCCATCAATCTCATTTTGGGTTTAAGTTTGCTGGATTTGTTACCAAAGAACACTGGCTGATGTGAGGGGCTAAGTCTGTGGCTTCCTACCAGCGTTGGGTGGTATCTGAGATCAGGGTCCAGGGCACAGGGCAGAATAAAGTCTGTATTTTCCACCATCTTATGCAGCTAGGTTTGTCCATGTGACTGGGTCTGGTCAATGGGATGTAAGGGGAGGTACTGTGCTCCTCCCCCAAATGGGGCATGTGTCTTCTTCATGTCTCCTTCCTTGATGCTGGCTGGAATGAAGATGTGAAGGCTGGAGCAAGGGCATCCATCTTGGGTCATGGAGCAGAAGCCACATGCTGAGGATGACAGTGGAGTAAGAAACGAAAGGAGCTGTAGGACCCAGTGATGGTAGAGATGTTGCCACAAGGCATGCCTACCTTCGGATAGATTTTCCCATGAAAGAAACAAATTGCTAATTCAAACCACTGTTATCTGGATCTTTTCTGTCACAAGTCTCAGAACTGCTAAAATGCTTTAGAAAGATCCATGTAGGACGTTGAGATTCTCAGAGGGAATCTTGACTGGCCCCCAGAACCAGAGGCAAATGAATTGAGATGGGTCTCGGGGGGGATGTTTTCTGAGGGGCACATCAGCTGGAGGCTTGATCTGAAAGGAATCTATATGTCGGCTAAAGTTCACCACCTCTGCCCTGAATCTGTGTGCCTCAATAAGAAACGTCAAAGAAACATCTGAAACCACTGAGATGATGGTGACAAAGACAACCAACATTTTCATGAGCACTCCCTATGGGTCACACGTTGTTTGAAATACTTTGTATTGGTCTACTCAAGACATACTGCATTAGGCAAATCTGCTGCACAAGCACTCTTTAAAGTGTTCAAGAGCAAAGATGTCAGTTTGAGGACTAAGGTGTCCCCGACCCAAGCCATGGTATTTTCAATAGCCTAAAGGAGCTCTGCTAGCGTAGTCATTACGAATAGGGCTGCAAACCGCAAGGTCAGCAGTTCGAAACTACCAGCTGTTCCGTGGGAGAAAGATGAGGCTTTCTGCTCCTGTAAAGATTTACAGTCTCAGAAACCCTGTACAGGGTCGCTATGAGTCAGAACCAACTCCACGGCACACAACAACAACAACAAATATACACATGTGAAAGTTGAACAGTGAATATGGAAGACCATAGAAGAATTGATGCATTTGAGTTATGGTGTTGGAGGAGAATATTAAAAGTACTATGGACTGCCAAAAGAACAAACTAAATCTATGTTGGAAGAAGTACAGCCAGAATGCTCCTTGAAAGCCAGGATGGCCAGACTTCATCTCTCATACTTTGGACATATTAACAGGAAAGGCTCATCGCTGGAGAAGGACATCATGTTTGGTAAAATGGAGGGTCAGAGAAGAAGAGAAAGACCCCTAACGAGATGGATTAGCATAGTGGAAGCAGCGATGGGCTCAAATGTAGCAACGATTGTGAGGCTAACACAGGACGGACCGGGTAGTACTTCATTCTGTTGTGCATAAGGTCACACTATTAGTTGGTACTGACTGCACGGCACCTAACAACAACAACACTCAAGACTCACAATCAGCTTCAAAGTTTGGAACAAAGATTACCAACTGCCATTGAGTAGAACTCATGGCAAACTCATGGATGTATGAGCAGAACTGTGCTCCACAGAGTCTTCAAGAGCTGATTTTGGGGAAGTCCATCACCAGGCCTTTCTTCCAAGGTGTCTCTGGATCAACCCTTTCAGTTAACTGAGCACGTTAACAATTTGCACCACCCAGAGTCCCAAGGAAGAAAGATTAGCGCCTAAGAGGTAAGGGACTTGCCTGAGTCCACATGACCGGCTGGGATGGGGCTGGAGTGCCAGGACCTGGCAGAGGAGTGGCTGCTGTAGTGGTACTCACAGAGTCCTTGAGTGCCAGGAAGCAGTGGCAAATCCAGCGTCGTGTGGTCCCATCGCGGCAGATATAGGAGAAAGCCTTATCCAGGTTGCGGTCAGGAGCACAAAAGGAGACCTTTTCAATGGTCTGGTCTACCAGCAGGTCCTGGGGAAGAGCCAGAGTGAAGTCAGGGAGGAAAGTGAGCTCTCTCTCATGTATTCATTCAGTATTCCCTCAGTGTCTTCTCAATGGCCAATCCTGAATGGGATGGAGACTCAACATTCCCTGAGAAGCGTGGGCACTGCCCTCATGGACTCCCAGCTCATAGAGAGCATCCAACCCATCACCAGAGAGGGGCAGGCCAGAGTCCAGCAGGATACAATGTGGGTGGAATGGAGGAGGCACAGGTGGAGGACTTGGACCAGACCAAGGGGGACACAGGTGTGGGACAGGGGAAAAAGTGTAGGTCTGTGATGGGGAGGGGCAGGCAGAGTGGTTAGAACTGGGTGGGGAAGGCATGGGGCCCATGGGAGCCAGGAAAGGGGAGTATGGTGTATGGCAGAGCTTCCTGGAATTTTTAGTAAGCAACAACTTCTAGAGGAATCAAGTGCACAAAGGCAAGGTATTTCAAGTGGAAGGAACTTCTATGCAAATGTTCATTTATCAGCCCAAGTCCCATCATGCCTGGCACTTCCTAGGCCTGGGCAGGAGACTCAGTGGTGAGCAGACAGACCCAGAAGCTGGTTCCATGGACAGCATGGTGCTTCAGGTTTGTTGGGCACATGGACACTCACTGAGCTGAGAACTTATGAAGTGTCAGCCCCAGTTTTAAATACTTTAAATATGTTTTCTCATTTAATGGTAGGGTCTATTTTTATCCCCATTTTATACATGAGGGATGAGGTAAGTGAGGCGCAGAGGGATTAAATCTCATGCCCAGGGTCACCCAGAGAGTAAACAGGTGAACTCTCCCCCACTCCCTGTCCCAGTTCACAAATCACCACAGAAACCATTTCTGAATTATGACTAGGGGGCCAAGAAGGTGTTACGAGAGCACAAGGCCTAGTCTAGAAAGTCCCTGAGGGAGAGACATCCTAGAGGTGGGTGGGAAGGTGTCCTCAGCCCTGGTTCCAGCAGTGAGAGAAAGGAGAGAGGCTGACTAGTGCCCACCTCCATGGGCCCCCTACCTTGGTCTTGTCATCCACCACTCGGAGCCCATCAGCTGACACCCACAGAACAGACTTCACGGACTTCCGGCCCATCTGGGGTGAGGGGAACAAAGATGTGTGGTCAGGGCTGCATTGCTGGGCCTGAGCTTGCCTCCTCCCTGGCTCCAGCCCCTCACTCACCGCCTTTAGCTTCTTCACAGCATCTTCACACACATGCATTCCCCGGGACTCTTCTACCTCCACATGGCCCAGGTACTGAGGGAGGGGACAGGAGAACCAGAGCAGAAATCAGCAGTTACCAACAATTCCTGCGTTCACCGACTGATGCACCAGGCAATGTTCCAAGCACATTATCCATATGTGCTCATTTACTCAGCACCTCATCCCTACAAGGGGAGACTCCATTTTGATCCTAGTTTTATAGATGAGAGAAGATCTGGTGGTACAGTGGTAAGCACTTGCCTGCTAGCTAACTGGCAGTTTAGCAGTTCGAACAGTTGCTCCACAGGAGAAAGGTGTGACTTTTCATACAGATTACAGCCTTGGAAAACTTTTTGTTGTTGTGAAGTGCCATCAAGTCGGTTCCGACCCTGAGTGACCCTGTACAGGGTTTCCAAGGAGCGGCTGGTGAGCTTGAACCGCCAACCTTGCAGTTCCAATGGTTTTGCAGTCTGATGCATTTACCCTTCTATTCTGTCCTAGAGGGCCAACTTGATAGCTACGGGTCTTATTTTTTTACAGCTATGAGAAAAGGAGCTCCAGTAGCCTAGATAATCATCAGCTGGGCTACTAACCACAAAGTCGGCAGTTTGGACCTACCAGTCGCGCTGTGGGAGTAATATGAGGCTTTCTGCTCCTGTAAAGATTTACAGCCTCGGAAACTCTGAGTCGCAACCTGCTTGGTGGCACAGTACCACCACCGAGATGAGAAAACTGAAGCGCAGGCTTACTGGTCAGATAGAGACTGCTGAGACTCCAGAGACAATGGTCCTTAGGCACCCTTCGGGCCTGGAAATGAACTCACCCTTATGTTTCAATTTTCAGCCAAAAAATTGATCTATAAGGGGAACAAGGAATCTTAGAATCTTGAACTATTTGAGATCACAAAGGCAGCATTTACCCAAGAACAAAGTTTGGAAGGGTTAGGAAAGAAGGAATGGAAACAGAAAGCATGGGGACCAAGTGGGAATGCATGATGTTAGTTACACTGAGGGGATCGCTCTCAATGAGATGAAACAAAATGTGTACGATCTGCTCTGCTCGGTAAACCATTCAGTTCACAATAAAAAGCTGAACAAAACTAAGGCACAGAATGGAGCAGTGGAATCTCCTGAGTCCACCCACATTCCTAGTCCTTTACACGGCACTGGTTTCCTTGAATACCAGTATCTCTGTGCCTGAGACCCCGCTGCTGGCTGCGTCAAATGGCTGGCCCACCCTTACATCATCATGTATGTCCCCGCGCAATGCGTTATGGGATTGGTGTACACGGGCTCCTGCTCCCTCAAATTGTGGAATGGCTGAGACGCACGTTCTACACTGTTTCCAGAGTTCCCCAATGGTGTTACGTTTCCATTGTCCACAGCTGCAGATTAAGAACACACTTTATTGTTGGTCTTCCTCATTCACCTCAACATTTCTGGCACCTCCCAAACAAACCCCTCACACTCTGGGTCTACTTCTGGGGGAAAGGGCTAATAAGGCAGAAGGGCTAGGACCAGCATCTGTCAGCACACAGCCAGGAAGAGGATTTGAACCCTAGGCCGCTGAGTTCCGCTGTCTTGAGTCCCACTGTCTCCCTTATAAAAGTGTAGTGCAGACTCTTAAAGGATTATGGTTAGCATACACCAGGCGGCGTTCATGTGATAGAACACTTGCGCCCTTTGGAAATTGTGAGCTTTTCTGAACAGATGACACGCTTCCTCCTCCCTCCTTTCCCCCCTCAATGTTTCCCAGGTAATATTCATATTTTCCTGGCGCAAGACAGTGTCTCTTGTTTTTATAACAACTTCAAAAGATCCCTTAAAGACCTCTAGCGTAGAATCCTGCAGGTTCCACAGTTCTTTGGGAATGTGAAGTCTCTTCAACATGGAATAGGACGTTAGTGAGCTAGCCCAGCAACTTCAAACACAACACAATAGCCCCACCCCCTCTTCCAGATCCCGCCCACTCCACCCAGGCCTCGCCCACTCACCCTGACCGGGAAGCTGCACGTGCCCTTGCGCACCGCGTCTTCATCCGCCTGCCATTGGTGCGGGCGTGAGGCCTCAGGAACGTAGGCTGGCTTCCTCCTCCGCAGGCTCTGGCGTAACTTGTTCATAGTGCCTGCGCCGTCTGATGACACAGAACAGGGGAATGGGCCAGGGCCAGGGACGCAGTGCTCTGGGAGCATGAAGTCACAGGGCTAAGGATACATGGCATTCAAGGGGCATGGGATTACAGCTCCCGGTCAGGTGACATGGAGTTCATGTGGAAAGGGGGCATCTGAAGGCAGGGAGAGAGAGGGCAGGCACAATGGGTATCAGAAGACATAGGGATAAGGAGTATGGGGGTCTGTGGTGGTGGTCAAGAGGTCACAGGTTTGAGGGATTTGGTAGTTGCGGGATGTGACAGTGAAGAGGCACAAGGATCCAAAGGAGGAGAAGTCAAGGCATTGGAGGCATAGCGAGCGCTCAAGGGTTACAAGGCCAGAGTTTTAGAGGATGGGCCAATCAGAGGGCTCTGGAATTGGGAGTTGCACAGGTCAGGGGCACACAAGTCAAGGTATTCAGAAGCTCCAAGGGTTGAAGATAAGGTCGGGGGTCCAAAGATGATGGGCAATACAGGCTTGTTTCTGTGCCTCTGAGACACAGCCTCTCACAGGGCCCCCAGGTGTGTGAGAGAGCGGTGGCTAGTCTTCCTTGAATGATCAGTTACACTACAGAGTCCCAGGAAGAAGTTGAGGGATCTTGATGGTGAGGGGGTCCCTGGGACTAGGAGTACCAACAGCAGATGGGGGCTCTGTGCCCATGTGGAAGCCAGCACACAGCTGTTGTTTGTCAGAGCAATCTTGAATGAATGGTGTCTGGGAGTGTGTTCTCTGAAGGCTGTCCAGAAAGGTACTGAGGATGGTTGTTATCCATGAGGGGATCTATGTCCCACCGTGTGCTTGTTGTCTGAGTGTGCTAAAGGTTGTCACTGAAGGCCGTCTGTATCAAAGAGTGGTTGTGTATCAGTGAGTGTTATCTATGGTGTGTCTGTTGTTGTCTATGAGGGCTTGTGTGTCAGTGACTGTCTCAGGGTGTGTCTATGTTTAAGCATGAAGCTGTTGTTTTTGAAATGGTGTGTCCATGACTATAGTATGTGACACTGTCGTGGTGTGAGGTCGTAGCTACTGTCTTTGTTGGTTGTTGCCTGTGAGGGGGCCAGAAACCATGTCCAAGAGTTCAGTGGTTGTTGGTGAGACTGTGAGTCTGACAAAGTTGTTGGTGTGGTGTTGTCTTAGGAAAGCCTGGGTCCGTGGGGCTGTTGTAAAGCTGGGTCTGTAAGCCAGTGTGCTCCTGTGGGGGTTGGAGAACATGAGTTGTCGTCTTTGTTCATAAGTGTTACATGTGAGATGGCTTTGGGTGAGAATGAGGACTATGTGTGAACCTGTGTCTGCGTGCAAAAGTAGAGCTGTTTGGTGAGAGCGGGGTTCTGCGAGGGCTACCTGGAAAAATACAGTTGTTGGAGTGTGGGAGTCTGTGCGCATTGTCTGTGAGGCTGTTGGTGTGCAAGTGTGCTGTCTGGTGAAAGAGCCGTGCCCGCTTGTGAGTCTGGGAAGTGTGTGTGAATCCACCCAGACGTGTGTGTGTTGGTGTGAAAACAATCTCGTCATGGTGATGACACACATGTGGGTCAAAAAGAACTGTTATCGATGCATGTGTCTGACTATGTTTGTGGGTGAGAGTGTCTGTGGTAGCAGTGTGACTCTATCCCTGTGTGTGTGGGAATATGGGTGCAATCTGAGCATCAGGTGTGTGTGACAGTCTAGGGTGTGTTCTGTGAATGAGTGTGGCTTTGATGACCACTGCACAGGGAAGAAGTTCGTCAGGGTGTCTACCCATGAGTGTCCTTAAACTGGTTCCTAGAGGAACAGTTTTCTCTGGTCACGCTAGGCAGACCCAAGTACACTCTCAGTCCCTGGCCTATGCTAAGCTGCTCACTCACCTGGCTCCGTCCTGGAGGGTGCAGGGGGCCCCGGGGCCCCACAGGGGGCTGGGGGCAGATGTTGCTCAGGCCTCCTGGGTCCACCCTGCCCAAGGGAGGGAGAAGGTGAGACGCTTGCTTGAGGTGGGGCTCAGTCCCCTTCTCCACCCTACCTTTGGACAGCAGCCAACCCCCCTCCATCTCAGGCTCCCTCCTGAAGGCTCTGGCTGCCATGGTAACTGTAACCAGGGAGATCAGCCACCTGGTTCCCAGGGCCCAGGAAGGAGTAGGTGTGTCTGGGGGGCATTTGTTGAGGATTTCTTGGCCTCAGGAGGCCCTCAGTGCCCAAGGGGATGATGTGAGGAAGGAATGGTCTTGCTTTCTAGACACACATCTAAGGCTGCACACACAAGTCAGGCATGCGCAGCCAACTCATGTCTCCAGTCATCCCTAACACCTGGACACAGTGAGGCACACTTACACACAGACAGAACCCCAGCTACACCCGAGACCACATACGTACACATAAACAGTGCTAGCCACGGTTTTGCCACTATAGACATCTGTCCGCATACTCACGTTCCCAGACACTGTTACACGTGGTCCAAAAATGTATGAAGACTCAGCCAGAGCCCACCCAGGCACTGCCATAAACGTTGATGACATCACTAGTTGGTCACTTACATTTCCATAGCCATGTACCAAGGGCTTAGGCATACTCACTATGTACAACCACACCCAATGACAGTTCTATTTCTGCAGGCACCCAACAATCTGCACGTCACAGACCCACCCAGACATAATCACGCCCAATCACAGTTCATCCATTTAGTCACCCATTCGGTCACACCTAGATATAACCACAGCTACACACATTTGTCACATGGTGCATATTTACACCAGGTCAAGGACATGCTCTAATAGATATGCATTTGTTCACACAGCTACACATGGACACTCAACCCCAGCTTACTGAATCCCCTTACTCAGGCCTGGGAGGAAGGTCCGGGCAGAGACGGGGCTTGTTTTGAGAGGGGTCTTTGCCTGGGACACTGCCCCAGATTTGGGGGGATATTGTGTCCTGGTTGTCTCTTATCAGCCACGGCAATACATGTTTTTGATCACACAGCCCCACGTACCCACAAAAGCACAGTTTGGGTTACAATATCAGTCACACCTAGTCTTCTATGACAGCCACACTTACACGAGCAGGCACTGACACAAAACTACACACGACATGCTCATGGCTAGACTCGATGCATAGAGACTCAGGCGCCACACTCAGACCCAACCAGTGTTCGGTCACAGGCATGCACAGTCACAGCTCCATTCTCAGAAATGGTCACCCATGCTCTGCCACATGGTGTCAATGTCCTTGATACCCAGACACAGACCACCACACAACACCCCCAGACAGCCATCCAATGTTATATCAACAGCAAGACACCTGTCACACAGAGAAACAGAGAGCCCCGGGTGGGACAGTACACAAGGTCACACGTGGAGCTACCACCCACAGTCTCCTACCTAATGGCTCATTCTGGATAGTCAGGTGTGTGCACCGGATACAGAGACCCAGGTGTGGCATGACAGCTGGGTTTAGACAAGAGAGCCATGTCACCAAGTCACACAGATTCAAACCTGAGTACTCCAGTGCCCACAAATACAACAGAACAGCCATGCACTTAGTCACCCAGGGTCACACATATAGACCACACTGATATGTATGTAGCCGTTGTCATACGTAATTAAATACTCCAAATAGTAGTTAGCCACGGTTTTAGACGCTAATACAAATACTTAACCAAAAGCACACATCCCCAAAACTAACCACTACATTGAGTTGGTCTGACTCATAGTAACCCTACAGAGGGTTGCTAACTGCCCATCTTTCTGGGAGCGGACAGCCTCATCCTTCTCCCACAGAGCAGCTGATGGGTTTGAACCATCAACCCTGTGGTCAACAGCCCGATGCCTAACCCACAGCACCATCAGGGCTCATTGCTGTTGAGTCAGTTCCAACTCATAGCGACCCGTATAGGGTTTCCAAGGAGCAGCTGGTAAGCTTGAACTGCTGACCTTGCAGTTCAAATGGCTTTGCAGTCTGGCGCATTAACCCATACCAGGAAGCCAGATACCAGAGCTCATAGATAGACAACTGTAAATACAATCAGTCAGTCTCATGTAGACACAGATGGATAAGGAATTATTTCTCCAACCCTAATCATACACAGACATGGTTGTGAACACACAACTAATACACATCTACCTACACACAGTAGCAGGCACACACCCGGAGGTGTTATGTGTCAGACAGATTCATATGTGATACACATATCAAGTCAGTTATAGACACAACTGTGAATGTTCACAGGCCATGGGAGAGCCACACCTGGACATAGTCACAGATACAACTCTACTTCCACACACAGCCACAACTCTGTCACATCTTCAGTTGGCCACACGCCCAAGCCCGGACTTGACACACATTGTCACATACTCGATCTGATTGCCAAGACACACAAACACGAGGCCACAAAAGATAACATCACAGATACAACCACACAGTCACAACCATGTTGTTGTTGTTAGGTGCCATGGAGTCGGTACTGATTCATAGCGACCCTATGCACAACAGAACAAAACACTGCCCGGTCCTGGGCCAACCTTACAATTGTTGCCACGCTTGAGCCCATTCATGCTGCTGCCACTTTGCCAGTCCATCTCATTGGGGGTTTTCCTCTTTTTCTCAGTCCCAACCATGCACAGACTCAAATGCAGACTGACTAAAAACTACAGGGTCCCACACAGTGAGCAGCTGTCTCTCTCTCTTTCACACACACACACAACCACACACATGCATACACAGAACACAACACAGGATTCTTCATAGTCACCAGCTGCAGCTCATGCATGCACGCGCACAAGCACACACACACACATATGGCCACAAACACGGGGTCACACTCCCAGCCACCTCCCCAATGCACACCAGTCCCCCACCCCCCCAGGTACCACACACAAAGCCACCATCACCACCCAGCATAGCAGACAGACGGGTTGCACCGGGTCCCCAGGGAGCCGCCCCCATCCCAGCCTGGATTCTGGAGCCTGGGAGGCCAGGGCCAGGAGGGGGGGAGCAATGCATTGTCTGCGGGTGGGGCCGTTCCTGGACAGCTGGGCAGCCCCAGGGACAAAGGGGGTGGCCTAGGGAACCTGTGCCCTGAGACCCTCCCTGACCAAGCCTCTCCGGGGTGCTCTGTCTGAAATTCCCCTTACTCAGGCCTGGTGGGGGTGCCAGGCAAAGGGGGGGGCTTGTTTTGAAAGGGGTCTGTGCCTGGGACCGCCCAAGCTTTGGGGGGGATGGTGTGTCCTGGTCGTCCCTGATGCCTGGGGTTGAAAGTGCGCTTAGAATAGCCCCAGGCCTTGACTTGGTGTGGACCTCATCCTCAAGACCTCAGAGGTGACCATTGAAGGGGGGGGGGGGGTTTAAGGATGGTGTCTAATCTAATCCCCTTGCCAGGCCTTGGTTTGATTGATGGGCTGTGTCTGGATCTTCATTCCCAAAACCTTGCCTCTGAGGTTATACCTAAAATCCCTGTCCCCCTGTCCTTGGCTTTTTGGGAGTTCTGTATCCGGGACCCCTACCTTTGGGTCTTCGCAAAAGAGGTCTGTACTCGAAATCCCCATCTCCTAAGCTTTGATTTCTGGGGGCCTAGCCTGGCCCTCCACCCAAGACCACCCTCCTCAGCCTGGGCACCCTCTCTTCATCCAGACACCGAGGCCGCCTCCCGATCTCCGCCACATCAGCAGCGGCGCCGCCGCCCACCCCTCGCCCCCCTTGCCCGCCCTTCTCACACTGGCCGCTGCGCTGCGGGACATCCAGGGCCCGGGCGCCCCCGCCTCCCGCGGCCCCGGCTGGGCCCCGATCCCCGAGTGCTGCTGCTGCTACTGTGGTGGCGGAGGCGGCGGCAGCTCGGTCTGACGCGGGCCAGAGCCCGTGGCCGGGGGATGGTGCGGGATGCACACGCGCGAGCCTGCTCCGTTCCCCCGAGGATTCCGTTCCGGGGGCGGGGGAGACTCCCTCCTGACTCGGCCCGCCCACTGGCCTGCCGCCTGCTGTAAATGTGAGAAGACCCCGCCCCGACCCGGGGCCTCGCGGGTTCCAGGCCCGCCTCCAACCCACAAGTCACGCCCCCACACAAATATGGCCCCGCCTTCTCTGGTGCGGCCACCGCCCCGCCACGCCCTCCGATCAGTCGCTGGCTAAGTCTGCAATGAGACTCGCTGAGTTCTCCTTAGTGTCCACCCAGGCGTGGGTTCTTCTGCGTGACCCCCTGACCTCAGATCCCCTCTCTTTTCGTGCCCAAAATAGTGGCTTCGGGAGGCGTCTTGCCAGCCTGTATCCCCAAACCTTCCCGCTAACCCCGAGGTTCTACCAGCCCGGCGGGGGCGGGCAGAAACGGTGACGAGGCACTTTTTTGCAAGGAAGGGGAGGGGGCTTGAGCGGACCCTGGTGTCCTGATTCGCGTGGTAGGCTCAGCTTTGGGGGCTGGGGTGCCAGGCTGGGACCGAGGCGCGGTTCTGGCCGCCGCTGCACCCCCAACCCCCAATTCTGTGGGTTTGGCAAAGCAGCTGGCTGGGACATTAAGGCCCATTAGCAAAGGCGAGGTTGCTGGGAGCCGAGGGGAAGCCAGAGCCTGAGAGGCGGGCGATAGGGGTGGGGGAGGTAGGCCTTCTCAGCTGCTTCAGGCCTCCGAGCAGGTGGTCGGCACGTGGGGGGGAGGGGTAAAGGGGAGAAGGAGGTTCCCGTCAACAGATGGTCCAGGCCCGGCTGGGGCTTTCAGACGGGGTGGGGGTGCATGTAGTTGGGGGGCTGGCCAGCTGCACCTGGAGGCTGCTCGCTAACTCCGCCTCCCCACCCCCCACCCTAGCCCTGAGAAAAGAGCTAGGGGAAGGAAGGAAAAGGGTAGCTTTTATTAGGGATGAAGGTTCAAACCCCTCCCCAACTATCAGAGAGGTTGTAATGTGGGGAAAGCAGCTGGTGGAAGAGTTGAGGGGTGGACTAAGGTGAGAACTGCTCTCCCAAGCACCACCCCTCCCCGTGGGCGGCTGCCCCCTTGAGATGATCCTGGACTGTCAGGATGTTGCTAGGGGGTCTAAGGCACCTTCAAAACAGGCAGAGATCAGTTCATTGGTTCCCTGGCTTAAAGCTCCAGGATACCAAATGCTAACTTTGAAGTGGGAGGACGCAATCTGGGGGGCAGGAAGCTTAGAGTTTCCCAGCCCCGGGGTTCCAGCCTCCGGGCCAAGGAAGAGGGTTGCCATAGTAGGGAAGACCCGCGGGGTGGGGGGTGGGGGGAGGCTCCCAGATCTGGAACAAACGGGAAGGGACAGGGGGGGATGTCATAGCAGGGGATGGCCTGCCACGGGAGCCTCAGATGGAGGCGGTTGTCTGATGTCCATGGAGGGGTTGCGGGGGGAGGCTTCTTAGTGCCTTGAGGTTCCCTCCGTTCAGCAGGCAGCAGGCTGCAGGCTGTGGCTATCCCTGGCGACTGGCCCAGTAGCGGTGGTAGGTGTCCTGGAAAAGGTCCCGGCAGTTGATGTGGGCGCGGAGGCGGGCACAGGCCAGGAAGGCCCCTGCCAGCTTCCGGTGCAGGGCGTAGGTCTCCTCCGGAGGTGGGCGCAGCCGGTGCCTCAGCAACACAGGGATGAGGTCCTGCACGCGGCGGGCAGTGTCTCCCGCCCCAAAGTCATAGGGTCCCTGGGAGGCAAAAGGCTCCCCCAAGATCATCACTGCCTCCACGTGGGCGTCTGAGAATGCCTGGGAGGGAAGGGGGGAGGTGGACAGTCATACCAGTGAGAACATCCAGCTCTCTGCCTAATCCAGAGGAGGCCAGCAGCCCCCAGCTTCAAGCATAGTAAGGAACTCCCAGCTCCCACCCTTCCAAGAGTAGTAAGCAGAGCCCACTTCCTCCAGACCCTGAGTAGACAAGCCGCCACCCCACTGTTGACGTGTGTTGACAAATCCATTCCCACTCCTGGTGACCCTCCATAACAAGAGTAGTTAGTGATGGTGGTGGTTGTGGTTCTAATTCATAGCCACCCTATATAAGGTTTCCAAGGCTGTAAATCTTTACGGGAGCAGGAAGCCTCATCTTTCTCCCGCTGAGTGAACAGCAGACTCCAACGCTGACCTTGTGGTTAGCAACCCAGCTCATAACCCACTACACTACCAGGGATCCGGACATAATACAGTAGAACTGTCCCCAAAAGGTTTGTCCTAGGATGTCATTTTATAGGAGCAGCTGAGCCTTTTAACCACTGTGCGACCAGAGCACCTAAAATAGTCCTCTTAAAAAAAAACAAGACAAAACCCCAAACCCATTGCCATCACATCAGTTCCAACTCATACCGACTCTACAGAACAGAGGAGAAGTGTGCCACAGCTTTCTCCTGAGCAGTAGCTGGTGGGTTCAAACCACCAACCTTTCAGTCAGCAGTCAAATGTTTTAAGCGCTGCATCACCAAAGCTCCTTTGCAGTTCCCCCACCCCGCCCACTCTTTCCAAGGACTTTTGGTGTGGTGCTGTAGGGTAAGCACTTGCCCATAAGGTCAGCGGTTCAAACTCACCAGCCGCTCCTCAGAAACCCTATACAGGGTTACTGTGAGTCAGAATCGACTCGATGGCACTTAACAACAACAACAACTCTTCCTGAGGACTTCTGGTATGGCGCTGTAGGATAAGTACAGGAATGTAAACCATAAGGTTGATAGTTCAAACCCACCAGCAGCTCCTTGGAAACCCTGTATTGGGTGCCTATGACTCCATGGCACTTAACGGTAGCAACTCTTCCCAAAGGAGCCCTGGTGGCATAGTAGGTTATGAATTGGGCTGCTAACCACAGGGCCAGTAGTTCGAATCCACCAACCACTCCACAGGAGAAAGATGAGTCTATCTGCTCTGGTAAAGAGGTACAGTCTTGGAAACCCTATATATACAGGGTCACTATGAGTCCGAGTCCTGATGTGGCGCTATGGGTTAATGCGCCAGACTGCAAAGCCGTTTGAACTGCAAGGTCGGCAGTTCAAGCTCACCAGCTGCTCCTCAGAAACCCTGTACAGGGTCGCTATGGGTCGGAACCGACTCGATGGCACTTCACAACAACATGAGTCAGAACCAATTTGATGGCACACCACCACCACTCTCCCCAAAATAAATAGCTCCTTTCTTCCTCTCAAGGAGCCCAGGTGGAACACAAGGTCAGTGGTTCAAACCCACCAGCTGCTCTGTGAAAGAAAGATGAGACAGTCTGCTCCCAGAAAGATGTACAACCTCGGAAGCCCTACCTAGGGTCCCTATGAATTGGGATCAACACAGTGGCAGTGGGTTTGGTTTGATTTCAGTTACCTCCTCTGTTCCTCCAAGAGACAAGCGTTCTAGACCAGCAGCCCCCACTTCCCTTAGAATAGGTAAGTCTGAACTGTCCATTTTCCTTCCCTCTCCAGAGTCCTCCAGTACAGATAATCAGTTTCCCCAGTGTAGACATACAAGCTCCTCTCTCAAGTAGAAACAAGCAGCTCCCATGCCACCCCTGTCCCCAGTCCCCCATCCCCCAGTGTCTCCCCACCTTGGTTTCAAAGCCTGTGAGGAATTTGAGGTCTCGGGATTTCTGTAGTACCCGAGCTCTGTCCCCATCAGCTGCCGCCTTCACCACCTGGGGAGATGGGAGTGGGGTACAGAGATCAGATTCAGCTGGAGTTCAAAGCAGGGGTGGGGTGGGATTCTGTGCCCAAATGGGACTTAAAAGCCTGGCCCTCCCTGGTACCCACCTCTCTCACTCACCTGAACCTCAAACACAGAAACCTCTCCCTCCCCATCCCCCTTGCCTTGTTTGTATGTTGTTTCCTTCCAGACTGTTCCCAAGTCTGAGGTACAGAGGCCAGGGGTCCTGTCACCCTACCATAGTGAAACGGCACACAAGAAAGCATGTCAGGCGCTGCCCATGGGTCCAAATACTCAACTGGACAAGGTGACCGTGACCCCCAACTGCATGTCAGGTTGTCAGGTTGCCAGCCTCTAGGAAGGTCTGGTTGAGGTCTGTTCTCATAGGAGACTCTGAGCCCCACGAAGCAGGGAGCCCTGTTGTGTTGCAGTTGAGTCCCATTCAGGAGGCCCTTGGTGTGCATGTAGCATGTGTGGGGGTGGATGGAGCCCTTCAGGGAAGTAGGAGTTTGGAGCAGGGAAGCTGAGATGGGCCCTGCCTGGATTTAACCCTGATGTTCTGGATTATGTTCACTCAATATATATATATATATAACATAATGAATCCTAACCTCAATTCCTGTGGTTATGATCCCTTGTGGGAATGGGCTATCTTTACTATGCAAATGAGGCAGAATTCATACAGGGTATATCTTAAGTCCATCTCTTTTATGAAATGAAGGAGATTAAACAAGTGAGCAGAGGAGAGACGGGGAAGAGACGCCAAGCCCCATGAAACTCGCCCAGGATGCGGAGCTCAGAGAGACAAGGCTCGTGCTCCCGTGTGCCCGTGCTCCCGAGCTGACAGAGACAGAAAGCCTTCCCCTGGAGCTGACACCCTGAATTCAGCCTTCCAGCCTTTGAAACTGTGAGGAAATAAATGTCTGTTTGTTAAAGTCATCCCCTTGTGGGATTTCTCTCACAGCAACACTGGAGAACTGGAGAACTAAGACGCCTGGGGCAGCCACTTGCTGGCTTCAGTCTCTAGACAAGTGGCTTTATTTCTCTTTTAGCCTCTGAGTCATCATCTCTGCAGATATGAGGGGGCTTCAAAACAGTAGTGGAAACATGGAATGACAAGATCCCCTTGTACCTTGCTCACAGGGTTGTGGTGAGGCTATGCAGAGGGCTCGGCATGGTGTGTGCGGGAAGCACCATCCCTCGATGAGCTCCTATGATCCCACAGCAGTGGTGGCTAGGAGGGTCGCGACCTCACAGAAAAGGACACCGACGTGGGGGGAGAACTCAGTCTGACTCCCAAATCCAACCCTTCACCACTGTACTGCATTTTCATTGGGGAGGAGGAGGATTGGACCCGGGACTTCTATTCTGGCCTCCACTCCCCCTGCTGGAGCCCTTCTGACCATCTGTCAGGCCTGTGGGCCTCAGGGGACCAGGGACAGGACTTTTTGACTAGAGAAAACTGGGGGGGAGTGGGGGAGGGGGAGTGGCAGGAAGACCTCGCTAAGCAGCCTGGGTGGATGTCCAAACTACCCAGAGATGGCTGGGCTTTGTGCCTCATCATTTGTGCAGAAGGGCCCCAGGGATTTGGGCCTGAGCACCAGCTCCAACTGTCTGTCCTCATCTCAGAGCCCAGAACCTTGTCATGCCCATCTCTGCCCCCTCCAGCCATCAGCTCCCATGAACTGCTCACAAGGGTCTCTCCAACTGTACCCACAGCCCTCCTGGGATCTCGGTCTTAGAGACCAATCCCTATTCAGAGAGAGCTTTCTAATTCTAACTAGGTCCCTCTCCTGTCCAAATCTCTCCCAGAGTACCAGTATAAAGTAGCCACAGCACAGTAAGTCCTCTAAGCCCCAGGATGACCTGGCTCCATCCTCATCTCTGGCTCCACCCTGCCCTTCTGGTCAGAACATAAACCTTTTTTTGGAGGGAATGGGAATGAGGTGGTCTTTTAGAGAGAGTCGCTTTGTAGGACAGATGGTTAACATACTCATCAACTGCTAACTGAAAGGTTGCAGGTTCAGGTGTCCCCAAAGGCACCTCATAAGAAAGCAGCAACATGAGTCAGGAAGACCCCAGTCTGACACATGGCCCACAGACTTGGAATTTGCCAGCCTCTAGGTTACGAATCGGGCTGTTAACTTCACAGTCAGCAGTTTGAAACTACCAGCTGTTCCATGGGAGAAAGATGAGGCTTTCTGCTCCTGTAAAGATTTACAGCCTCAGAAACCCTGTACAGGGTCGCTATGAGTCGGAACTGATGCCATGGCACGTAACAACACCAACAGGATGAGCACTAGAGTCCTGGGGTGGTGCTGCAGGTTAATGCACTGGACCACAAGGTCCGTTTGAACTGCAATGTTGGTGGTTCAAATCCACCAGCCACTCCTCGGGAACCTTACCTATACAGGGTCACTATGGGTCGGAACCAATTCGCTGGCACTTAACAACAATAGGATGAGCACTGGTGTGGCACTGCAGGTTAACGCACTGATTGCAAGGTCAGTTTGAACCTCAAGGTCAGCAGTTCAAGCTCACCAGCTGCTCACTGGAAACCCTCATACAGGGTCGCTATGAGTTGGAACCAACTCAATAGCACTCAACAACAGGATGAGCACTGGACTGCCAACCACAAGGTCAGCAGTTCGAGCCCACTAACCACTCCTTGGGAGAAAGATGAGGCATTGTTGTTCCTGCAAAGATTTATAGCCTCGGAAACCCTACACGGGGCCATGGTGAGTTGGACCCAACAACTGTAGGAGCCATTTCCTTGGGATCAATTTCTCTGTATATATGCATATATAAGTTTCACTGGTTTGCTTCCCTAAAAGAACTACACCAAAGACATTCTGCTAGTACCTACCACATGACCTTGATTACTGTAGCTTTGTAGTAAGCAAGTCTTTAGATTGGAAAGTGTGAGTCCTCCAATTTTGTTGTTTTTCAACATCAGTCTATTTGGGGTCCCTTGCATATCTATGTATATTTCAGGATGGGTTTCTCAGTTTTTACAAAGAAGTCAGCTGGGATTTTGATAATGACTACATTGAATCTGCTGTGGGCTAATGCGTCAGACTGCACAGTTGTTAGAACTTCAAGGTCGGTGGTTCAAGTTCACCAGCTACTCCTTGGAAACCCTATACAGGTCGCTATGGGTTGGAATCGACTTGATGGCACTTAACAATAGCAACAATATTGAATCTGTAGCTCAGTTTGATGCTGTAGGATCAGCACTAGACTGAGAACCACAAGGTCAGCGGTTCAAATCCAGCAGATGCTCCGAGAGAGAAAGATGAAACTGTCTGCTTCCACAGAGATTTCCTTCAAAAACCCTATATAGGGTCACTATGCATGGAATCAACTTCAGTGGCAGTGGGTTTGGCTTTTCGGGTTAATGCCGCTGTCGATGCTGTTATTGTGTGCTGACAGTGACCTTGTAGGACAGAGAACTGCCCCACAGGGTTTCCTAGCCTGAGATCTTTACAGGCGCAGATCGCTAGGTCTTCCCACCCACGGAACTACGGGTGGGTTTGAACTGCTGACCTTTCAGTTAGCAGTCAAATACTTAATGATTGCGTCACTGGGGCTCCTGTTAATATTTCTACTATTTATAATTTCTCGGTTCCAGCTCGTGTGTCTCTCATTCTCGCCTTCGCCTCCGTGTATGGCCTAGATAGATGTCGGTCCTTCAGGGACCCCAGAGCAGGGGGACTCACCTCAATGTAATGATCTGTGAACTCTGTCCCAAATTCCCGGCTTGCCCCGAAGTCCAGCAGAGTCACCTGGGAGCGGGGATGGAGAAGGGAATACTGGGAGTCTGCCAGTGTCTCCCTGCACCATCAGCCATGGGATGGTCAGGGTCCAGCTCCTTTCCCCCAGTCCATGGCCCGCCTCTCCCACGGGTCCCTGCCCAGTACCCCGCTGGGTTCCTCGCCTCTACTTTCAGTCCTAATCCACTCCTACATGGCAGCTGGCAGGGGGTAGGGGTAGGAAGGGGGTAGGGGTAGGAAGACCTGGCTTGTATATTTTGGTCCTAAGTGTTTTTATAATACCGTATTTCAGGCATACAGAAAAGAGAATAAAAATATGAGCCTTCAAAAGTTCAAGGATAAATGAAATTAGGAGACAGTGGGATTTCTTCCCAAACTTTTGGAAGCTGCCTTGTAGGATAAGCGCAGGATCACCAGGTCAGTTTGAACCATACGGTCAGTGGTTCAAACCCACCAGACGCTCCTCGGAAACCCTCTACAGGGTTGCTATGAATTGGAACCAACTCAGCGACACTAACAACAACAGAGTATGTTGGACTTAACAAATGTTAAGTGCCGTCAAGTCAGTTCCAACTAGGAGTCCTGGCGTGGCGCTGTAGGATAAGCACTGGACCACAGGTTGGTTTGAACCGCAAGATAGCAGTTCAAACTCACCAGCCGCTCCTTGGAAACCCTATAAAGGTTCACTATGAGTCAGAACGGACTCGATGACACTTAACAACAACAATAGGGTTTCCAAGACTGAAACTCTTTGTGTGAGCAGTAAACCCCATCTTTCTTCTACGGAGTAGCTGATGTGCTCAAACCACTGACCTTGTGGTTTGCAGTCCATTGGTTATCCTACTTAGCCACTGTGATACACACACAGAAATACAAGGGGGCTTCAAAAAGTTCATAGAACATGGAATTCAAAGATGATGGAAATTTTCTAACTTTTTGAAGGCCCCTCACATAAAAAGGCAAGCGAAAATGTTCTGAAATCTTTAAACCTTAAATCAAAACTATCCCTCAGGTCATCTTAAAACCCAACAAAGTTTAACATGAGGCTCCTTTCTGATCCATCTTTCTGGGATCAGCTCTGGAAAGGTTAGCTAGGAGCCTTGAGGGGCAGGGAGTTTATGGTCCTGGGAGGAGGAACACCTCAGAAAGGGAGGCTGGGAATGTTTGCACAATTGAAGACTGTCCCTGGTGTCATTAAATGGCACATGCATTGGTTTATGTTTTGCTATGCATATTCTCAACAACAATCAAATAAACACAATTTAGGGGGAGGAGGAAATGAACTGAGGAAAGATTTAAAAAGTATCCTGAAGCAATATCCACGCCTACATGCTGATACTTGCTATTTCACTCTTTTAAAACAAATTTGAAAAATGTTTGGGGCACCCAATCCCAATGCACTATTGTCAGGACTCCTGGAGTTAGAAAGAAAACTCTGTGGAGCTCCAGCCGAGCAGGAGCCAGAGGGTGAGTGTTAACTTTGAGAGGAAGGGGCGGCAAGGGGCTTCCTGAGGGTGCTCTGGAGCCAGGGAAGGGGTATCTTGACCAGATCAGTGATTTAGAACGATTTCTCTGTGTGCAAAACAGACACGGACCACTTTGGAGAAATGTTTGGCGATCTCTAGCAAGACTGTGTGCACAGCATGCTGGGAGTCTTTCAGGCCACAAGCTCACTGCTGTTCCTGTGCTGGAAGACCCTTCCCTGCTCCCTGAAGGACTGTCTCCTCTCAGTTTTCAGAGAACTTTCTTGAAGAGAGTCTACCCGCGACCCCACCTATGCCTCTGTATCCTGGCCTTAACCCCCTCCCATCACCTCCCCCAATAACTGACCCTCCCGGCATCATTGGGTCTGAGAACTCAGAAAAGGCAGGGATCAAGGATGTCTTGTCATTGTTGTCAAGCAACAGAGTAGATGCTCCGGTACTTTCTGAATGACAGAATGACAAGAGGAGTAGTGGTGGGTCCCTCCCTGCCTTCCAAAGGTTGAGCTCCCTTTTCTACAGGTTCGCACTGCCACTAAGAAGCCATGACCCAGCCTGAGACTCCACTTCCCAGCATGCCTTGCACCTAGACAGGACAGATGACTGGTTCTTGTCAACAGGAAGGAAGGTGAAGGCAATGGTGGAGCATTTCTGTCCAAAGTGTGTGTGCATGATTTACTGTCTCAGAGTCTCTTTCCCCTTCACTAGAAGCTGAGCAGTGTGAGGACCAACCACAAAGGCAAGATGACTGAGCCCCTGGATTGCCTCCAAGAGGAAAATCAGTCCAGCTGCCATGGGGGAGAGTAAGAGACTACTATTGTGTTGGGCTACTGAAATCTCTAGGAGTCTTGCACATCACAGGGGACCGACCTGGTGGCTGGAAGTGTCATACAGGAAGTTGGCCCAGTTGGGGTCCGTCTGCATGAATCGGAACTCAAACAGCTCCCGTAGACACAGCTTCAGGAGCTGGAAGCAAATCTGGGGTGGGGAGAAGCAACAGACCCTGAAGCGCAACCTGTCTCCTACAGTCTCACTGGACTTGGGGGGGACTGTGGGCCTGGCCTCCCGTTCCCAGTTTGCCCTGGGGGATCACCCTCCCTACTGTCCACTGGGACCATGTACCTGGTTCCGGACATCCTGGCTCAGGCCCTGACACTGGTCCAGAGGGATCCCTCTGGCCAGCTCCATGCCCAGCACCCGTGTGGTACACAGCTCTTGAATTAGGGCTGGCACTCGGAAGAAGGGGTCATCTGCCAACAGCTGCCTAGGGCAAGAATGGGGAGAAGAATGGAGAAGATCCAGCTCTGAAAAACCCTCCATGTAGAGCCTGTGTCTGCTTTCCGCTTCCCCTTTTCTTGCCTCTGTCTGCCCCAAGTGATCGTCAGGACAGTGTGAACATTTGTTCAAATGTTACATTCATTCACTCAACAAATATCTCTGCAGCACGTTCTCTGCAAACAGACGCTGATGGAGACCTGCTCCTACTTCACTACCCAAAACACTGCCGTGGCTTCTGGAGGCCCGAGGAGGAGCCCACGGTGTTCAGCAGCATCAATTTATGTATCGATCCAGAGAGTCCACGGTAATAGGCCTGGGTCACTCAATCCTGGCTGTCATTATTCTGAACGTTGGTTAAGTGAAAGGAAAAGAACCTAGCTTTGTCCATCTGTCCCTGTGCAGGAAAAGGCAGGAGACAGTGGTCAATGAGTCACTTCCAGGGTCCGCCCTTTTTGCAACCCCTCACCCCCAAGAAATCACTCTTGACCGACAGACCAAGTATAGTAGAAGAGTTACCAGTCTAAGATTTGGAGGCAAAGGACGTGAGAGAGGCCTGTCATGGGGGACTTGTGGGGTAGACAGAGTGAGGGGGCCCAGGTTGGTAGCAGGAGCCAGGGGTAGGATGTGGATTTTTATTTGAAGAACACTATAGTGGGGGAAAGGAGCTCTGGTAGCATAGTGGCTATGAGTCGGGCGGCTAACCTCAAGATCAGCAGTTCGAAGCCACCAGTGGTTCCATGGGGAAAAAAAATGAGGCTTTCTACTCAAGTAAAGATTTACAGCCTCGGAAATCCTATACAGGGTCATTATGGGTCAGAACCGACTCGACAGCACTTAACAACAACAACATAGTGGGGGGAGGAGCTCCCTAGATCTCACATAGGAGGGCTCTGGCCCAGCCCCACCTCACACCCTCCTCTTCAACGTCCTGCTTGGAGGCTTGTACTTTTGTTATTTATAAAAACTCTGATGTTTGAACCAGGCCCTGTGCTAAGGATTATATCAGCACAGTTTCTTCTGATCCTTCTATGAGGAAGAAACAATTTCTTCTATTCCTTCTATGAGGAAGAAACTCTTGAAGTCACTTGGCGGTGTGACCTGAGTCTCAAGTACAGGCCGACCAGGCATCTGAACCCACATCTGTCCAAGCTCCAGGTACAATGTCCCCAACCATTGTTTCTACAGCCTTTCTTCTCACTCGGAACCCACAGAGCCGGCCACCAGATTGTGGATGACCTCAGTGAGGTGTGATTGATTATTGCTGATCACTGTGCCTCTAAGATATGAACCGCTATAGCTCACTTTTCATTGCCATACAATGTTCCACTGATGAGCACCCCATCATTTACTTACCTTCCTTGCTGTGTTCAACCCTGAGGTGGTTTCTAGTTTGGAACTCTAGCAAACCAGGGTGCTCTAAGTATTCCAGTAGAATTTGTTGGGGTATTAGAGCACTGAACTGGGCAATTGTCAGGGTTACAAACTCACTTCAGAGTTATGGTGTAGGGTGGTAAGATAAGCACTGGGCTGCTAACTGCAAGGTCGGGATTTCAAACCCACCAGCCACTTCTTGGAAACCCTGTACAGGGTGGCTATGAGTCGAGCCCAACTCGATGGCACTGAACAATAAACTCATTGCTACCAACTTGATTCTGACTCACGGTGGTCCTACAGGGCCGAGTACAACACCTCCACAAGGTTTCTCAGTCTGTGCATCTTTCTCCAGTGGAATGGCTGGTAGATTTGAACAGCCAACATGTAGTTAATAGACCAATGCTTAACCCACTGTACCACCAGGGGCTGGATTATAGGGGATGTGAGTATTGAGCCTTTTTTTTGTTGTTAAGTGGCTGGTGAGCTTGAACCACCGGCCTTGCGGTTCAAACCAACTTTGCAGTCTAGCGCATTAACCCACAGCGCCAGTGTATTAACCCAGGACTCCTGAGCCTTCTTAGATGTGGCCAAGCTGTTTTTCCAAAGTGCTTTTATCACCATTCCACAGGTTTATGGGGTGGATGCTCTGGCGTCCTGTTCTCTACAGCTCTTGGCACAGTCCGATTTCTTAGTCTTTGTCAGGAGGTCTCACTGTGTAATCAAGTTCCCCACCAGACCATGTGGTTATGAGCTCCCTTTGACAGATGAGGAAACTGACATTCAAAGAGATGAAGTAACCTGACCAAGCTTACAGAGCACACAGGGGATAAGAAATTATAGACAGATGGATGAAGGGACAGATGGACAATTGGAACAAATGAATAAAAGAGGAAGAGAATCTGCCAGTCCCACCCCAGGGCTCCAGCTGCCAGAGACTGTGTGAAGTTGTGGGAAGGAGGGAAAAGGTCCCCAAGGGCCATGCAAGGAACTCAGCTCACCTAAAGTTCTGTGCACAAGCTGCTTCACGACGGTAGTCACACTCCCAAGCCAACTCCTGCTGCAGGGCCTGCAAACTGTGCTCAGCAAACAGGCCTGAGAGGGACAGTCCTGTCAGCAGGAAGGGCCACAGCCTGGCCTGCCCCTGCCCCTCGGGCTCCCGCTCAGATGCCTTCTCTTATCGGTTCTCCCTCCCTCCGTCTCTTTCCGCCCATCACACCTTCTGCTTCGGGTCGTGTCTTCTGGCCCACCATCCACCCTTGTCCTCCAGACACAAGCACATACTCCTGGTCTCCGCCTGTTCTGCCCTTGGCACACACTTCCCTCTGTCTTTCAGACAACTTCACACAGAGGGAGTCCTGAAGGCGCTCCTGGTCTTACACACACGCACACCAGTCCCTCACGTCTCTCAGCCGCCCATGCTGTCTCTCTGCATCTCACTCTGGGCCCCTCTCCGTGTCTGTCTCACGCATGCTGTCCTGCTTACAATCCCATCCTACTTCGGTGGCTTCATCCACACCCAAGAGCCTTCTCTCTGCACTGCGTACCCTCTGTGTGTGTTTCTGAATGCTGGTCTAGGCCTGGCTCAGTGACTCGCTCCGAATCACTAAGTTGTTCTCCCCCCTCCTACCCTTCACCACGCTCATGCTCTGACCTCTCCCTGCTTTGTTGTCTCTCTCTCTCTCTCTCTGTTACACACACATGAGCACGCACACACTGAGACACCCGGCTTTCCCCCAAGCCAACCCTACAAGTGGAGGGGAGCCTCACCCTCGGGCAGGGCCACACTCATACTGAGCACCGCCAGCAGGTTCTGGACATCACTCTCAATGCTCTTGGCGACACCAGGGTACTGCAAGGAAGGGCAAGGGAGAGGGTGGGCTTCATTCACTCCTCCCCTCTAGGACAGCAGGGCCCTGCCCCCTCCCTGCTCGCCTCCTTCTCACCTGGATCTTCACGGCCACCTCCGTCCCATCCTTCAGCATGCCTTGGTGCACCTGCCCAATGGAAGCAGCAGCAAAGGGTACCTCCTCCAAAGAGGCCACTTTGGCCTGCCAGTCCCTGCCGAGCTCTTCTTCCAGAACTCTCTGAGCGGAGTGGTCACAACAATCAGGGGGGCAGCTGTGTGTGCTCAGGACCCCAGCACCAACTATGGAGCACTCCCCACACTCAGGGCCCTGTGGTAAGCTCTTGACTGCTGCCCCACTTTACAGATGAGGAAACTGAGGTTGAAAGAAGTCTCTTGCCTAAGGTGACCGAGCAGCTTGTGTCTCTGAGCCTGCACTTGCAGGCCGTAGCTTTGAGCATTATTAATCTATAATTGTTGGTCCTAAGTACCATCGAGTCGGTTCCAACTCATAGTGACCCTGTATAGGATTTCCAAAGGGTGGCTGGTGGATTTGAACCATTGACCTTTTGCTTAGCAGTTCAATATGTAACTTACAGTGTAGTGTCACACTAAGTTAGACAGATAATAACTTTTCATTAGACTTGCCTATCATATGAGGAAGGAGCCCTGGTAACGTAGTGCATTACGTGTTAGGCTGCTATCTGCAAAGGCAGCAGTTCAAGCCCACCAATCACTCTGCAGGGGAAAGATGAGGCTTTCTGCTCCCATAAAGATTTACAGCCTCAAAACCCCCATACAGGGTCACTGAATCAGAATCAACTTCAAGGCACATCACCACCACACAAGGAGCCTTCCAAAAGTTTGTGGGAAAATTGGAATAAAAAAATTATGGGATTTTTCTGCAAACTTTTTGAAGCCTCCTCATTGTACTGACTTGAAGTGAAAGTGATCAAGACCGAAAATTGACTGAGGGCATCCTGAGGCTAGGCCACGCTCAGAGAGGCTCTGAGAGGGGTAGCCACTACCCAAGGTCACATGACGAGACAGCAGAAGAGATACCAGAAGACAGGCAGGTGGCCAGACACTGGAGTCCGTGTCTGCACCGTGACAAGGAGGATCGTTCGTGTCTTGGTACTGGGTATTGACAGACGCTGCCTCCTCTAATTCAAAAAAAAAAACCACCATAAAACTTGCTCCTCACTCACTGCAGGTATGGGACTGTTCTCAGAGCTTTCTCAAGACTCGCTGATTTAACTCTACGATGTGGGCACTGCCAACGCTATCCCCATTTCACAGATGTTGAAACTGAAGTGCAAAAAGGTTAAGCCAGGGTTTGATTCCACGTTGTCCGGCCTCAAACTACCTGCTTGGCTGCCTCTTTAACAGCCCCTGCAGAGATGGCTGTGGTGCTGTGGGTTAATGCGCAGGACTGCCATCAATTTGAACTGCAAGATCGGCGGTTCAAACTCACCAGCCCCTCCTCAGAAACTCTATACAGGGTTGCTATGGATCGGAACCAACTCGACGGTACTTGACGACAACAACAACAAGAAACAGGACTATGACAAACACAACACAAGGTACTCTTCGCCTTCTCCTGCGATCATCATTGGGATGCCATGAGGTATGTGCTTCAGTAATTCCCATTTTATAGGTTGGGTAACTGAGACTGAGGCTGAGGCTCAGAATCAGGCATCGAGTAAGTAGATCAATGAAGCCCAGAGGGTGGGAGAGGATGGGACATACTAGGCACTCACCACCATCTGCCAGCGGGGCATGAAGTCAGCGCTCTGGCGGACCCTCTCAAAGATGCGCTGTATCTGGGGGCTGATGAAGCTGTTGTCTTGGGAGACAGCGGGAGGAGAGGAACAGTGAGGAAAGTGGGTCCCAATGTGAGTATCTGAAGTCGGGGGTATGTTGGTGAGTGGGGTGGGGTGGAGTGAGGTAGAAGTGTGGTCAGGGGTCGTGCTGTACCCTGGATGCTGAGCATTTGGCCAACCTTGAGGGCGGCCCCTCGAACTGTACACAAGGTCTGCACGATCCGCTCGGCATTGGCTTCTGACAGGAAAGAGCTGGAGCCCAGCTGGGAGCTACCTCCTGGGGAGAAAGAATAATCAGGATTAAGAAGCAGGGGCCTAAGGAGTCTAGTACCATTGCATACCCACAACGAATGGCTAAAATGGAAAAAGATAATACCAAGTGTCGGCAAAGATGTGGAGCAACCTGAACACAAACACTGCTGGTGGGTGTCATGGTGCAGGCCCTTTGGGGAACAGCTGGGGAAGTTTCTACTAAAGCTGAGCACATATCTCCCCAGTGCACATGCGTTCATAGCTCCACCAGCAGACAGCATGCAGATGTCCATTTAAGCAACACAACTTATAACGGTCCCAAACGAGACACAACCCAAATGACCCGTCCATGGAATGAATGGACAAACTGTGTTAATATTGGATATTGTCACAGTGTGGAAAACTAAAGCGGTGAATAAACAATCTCCAACCGCACCCAACCACGTGGATGTGCCTCACATACAAAACGCCAGACAGGTCAGATAAGCCACAGTGTGATTCCATTTATGTGAAGAGCAAAAGGTGGCAGAACTTGTGTGAGAAGTCAGGAATGGAGAGAAACTAGGAGTGGCCAGGAGGGGGCATGAGAGGGGCTTCTAGGGCAGCAAATTCCAAAGTGTGGTCTGGGGGTGTTCCCTGGGAGGGTCTCCATGACTCTTCACAGACAGCCTGTGAGATCAAAACTATTTTCATGATAACAGTAAGAAGCTATTTGCCGCCTTTCCACCCCCTGTATATTGAGTGGATATTTCTAGAGGTTCCATGCCGTGTGCAGAATCACTGTTCTGATGTCTGGCGGAATACACATGTGTATTCTTGTGTTGTGCACAGCTGGCAGCTTTAATGTCCAATATGGCAAATACCAATAAACAGAGCCCACATAAATATTCATAAATACAACCTCCGTAAACAGGCTCTTCGGGGGCCCTCAAGGTATTTTTTAACAGCTTTACTGAGAGATAACTCACATCCTATGCAATTCACCCATTTAAAGTGTACAATTGCATGGATTTTAGTATTTTCACACAGCTGCACGACCATCACTGTATTCCACTTTAGAACACTTCATCACCCCATAAAAACTCCATACCCGCTAGCAATATTTCCCCATTTCTCCCTTAGGTCCTAGCCCTAAAACCAAATCCTGTTGCCATCAAGTTAATTTTGATGCATTACGGATCCTAGAGGACTGAACAGAAGTACAACTGCCTCACCAGGTTCCCAAGGCTGTGATTTTTATAGAAGCAGACTGTCTCATCTTTCTCTACACTGGACCTATGCATTCATCATTTCCAAGGATGGGCAGGGATCCTGAGACCATGACATTTAAGAACCACCATTCCACAGCTTCTTGATCTGGGTGCATAGATGAGACTAATTTGTGAAAATTCATCAAGCTGCACACTTAATGAAAGGGGTCCGTTTCTGTATGCAAATGATATGATGCCTCATGAAAGCATTTACTCAGCTTTTAACTATTTAAGGAGCACCAGTGGCACAGTGGGTTAAGCACTGGGTTGCTAACCACAAGGTTGGTGGTTCAAACCCACCAGTTACTCCTTGGGAGAGCAAAGAGGTTATTTGTTTCCGTAGAGAATTATAGTCTCAAAAACCCTAGGGAGCAGTCTACTTGGTACTATAGGGACAATCTGAGTCAGTATTGATTCGGTAGCAGTGGGTTTATTTTATTAAAAATGTATGTTGTTTTTGTTGTTGTTAAGTGCCATCGAGTCAGTTCCGACCCATAGCAACCCTGCGTAGGGTTTCCAAGAAGCAGCTGGTGAGCTTGAACCACCGACCTTGCAGTTGTAGTCTGACGCATTAGCCCACGGCACCACACCAAGTGCTCACTATTGTCCTGGTGTGGCGCTGTGGGCTAATGTGCTGGACTGCAAAGTCGGTTTGAACCGCAAGGTCAGTGATTCAAGTTCACCAGTCGTTCCTCGGAAACCCTAACCAGGGTTTGCTATGAGTTGGTGTCAAGGGCACTTAACAACAACAACAACAACAACGGAGTTCTGGTGTGGCGCTGTAGGATAACGCATTGGACAGCCAGGTAGGTCTGAATTGTAAGTTCAAATTCACCAGCTGCTCCTCAGAAACCCTATACAGGGTCACTATGAGTCGGAACTGACTCAACGGCACTAAATAACTACAATAACAGACTCCTGGTGTGGTGCTGTAGGATAATCACTGGACTGTTAACTACAAAGTTGATGGTTCAAAACCACCAGCTGCTTCTTGGAAATCCTATGCAGGATCGCTATGAGTCAGCACCAGCTCGATGGCACACAGCAATAGCAATTCAGTCCCAATTTGAATTTCCCTAAATATCCCCCAAAATCTATTCTAGCTGCTTTGTTTTTTTCCAACTGAGATCTAGACATGGCTCACACATCAAAGCTGTTTGTTGGTGTCTCTAGGATCTCTTTTTAATCTAGAGTATTCCCTTTACTTCAAGGCAAAGGTTTTTTGAGGAATTTTACCCACAAATACTTCTCTCTACACATGGAATTCCACATCTGTTGTACATAGATCTCCACTGGCTCTCCTGCTTTCACCTTTCTTCTCCTGCTTCATGTTTGGAACTCAACTCCCTATGTCTTAGATTGTTTCTCAGATGATAAACTAAACCAATCCCGCTGCCGTCTCATCAAATCTGACTCATAGCAACCCTATAGCGGATTTCTAAGACTTTATGAGAGCAGACAGTCTCATCTCTCTCCGAGTGGGTTTGAACTGCTGACTTGGGGCTAGGAGCTCAAAACCTAGCCCACAATGCCACCAGGGCTCCTTTTGGATGATAAGCTTCCATTAATCCCAACAAGTTACCTGAAAGTCAACAGTTCGAAACTACCAGTTGCTCCTCGGGAGAAAGATGAGGCTTTCTGCTCCCGTGAAGATTTACAGCCTCGGAAACCCTGTACAGGGTCGCTATGGGGCAGAACTGACTTCATGATAGACCACTACCACCACCACAATAGCAGTTTAGCCCTCTTCTGAGCACTCCACATGAACCCTAAGACATGGGCATGTTCTTATCACCTCCAGTTTCCAGATGAGAATATTTAAGCTTGGAGAGGTGAAGCCTCTAGTCCCAGGTCACACAGCAAGGCCAGATTCTGAAGCCAGGCAGAGTGGCTCACTCACCTGACTGAAGGTGTCTTCCTGGCAGGGTCTTCTTGGCCACCTCAGCCAGTGCTCCCAGCCCCAAGCCCACAGCCAGTCCTGGTGAACGAGAGAGAGAGGAGGCTGTATCTGCTGGCATTCTCCCCAGACCCCCTCTCTCCTCACTGTCTCTAAACACTTGTCTCTGCAATCCTTTGTGGGGGGTTCCTTCTGTCCCTAGATCTCTCTAGGCTTGTTTCCTGAGCCAGCAGTTCTTAGATGTGGCTTCCCAGAGTCATCTGAGATGTAGTTATAAATACAATGCCCAGATCTCATTTCCAAGATGCTGATTTAACTGAGCTAAGGCCTGGCTTTTTTTCCCAAAGCCTTCTAACTGATTCTAGGGTACAGACAAGGTTAAGAAGGCCCCAAACTGACAGCCCTGTGTCTCTCTGTCATCCTGACTCATGTCCCCTTCCTGAATCAGTTACTTTCCACACCACCTTTCTCTTCACCTGGCCAGTCTGTCTGGGCTCTAGTCTCTCCTTTTGACATTCTCTCTCTACTTCTAGCATTTTCTCTCTCCTTGTGTTTAAGAATATCTTTGTTCTTTTTTCCTCTTTCCCTGTCACTCTCTCTAAATAGACCTTTGCTAAGGTGGCTTACTGATCTCAGGGCATGATATTCGCTTTGGGTGTGAGAAGCCCGGGGTTCAAATCCTGGACAAGCCCAGTGGGTTCAAATCCTGTAGGATAAGCACTGGATTGCTAACCAAGGATCGGCAGTTCAAACCCACTAGCTGCTCTCAGAAACCCTATACAGGACGGTTGCTTATAAGTTGCAATTGACTTGAAGGTACCTATCAACAACATCTCTAAATAAATATTGCTGGAAGTTTCGGGGTGCTTTCTCCATACCAGGTACCTGTTCCCAGTACCCAAGTGATGCACATCAACTCATTTCATCCTCACATGCTCCTGAGATGGGCTTCAGAAGAAAAATATCCATTTCATAGAAAAAGAAACTGAGACGTTAAGCAATTTGCTAGTATCACAAAATCAGGGCACAGTACAATCAGCCTTAGAATGTTTCTAGGTGTCAAAGCTCTAACCACACAGCACTCAACTGCCTCTTTACATTGTGAATCAAAATCTTTACACCTTGAATCATGACCCACAGTTAAGATATTGGCATTCTAATTGGTACGGTCCAAGGCATATGTAATGGTTCATCAAACAATACTTTCCAATATGATCACACAAGTACACTCATATTTTCTTTCTTTCTTTTTATGTTAAATGCTAGCTACATACACCTCCCTAGATTAGTCCTTGAAGTTTGCAACGTAAACTTTGAGCAATTCTGCTTTGTGACTTCAAGGCAAGGCAGACTCAATGCTCAACTATCACATGGAAATAATGGCAGTCAGTGCAGTTGGGACCATGTGTGTACAGGGTTTTGCACATTACAATTTCTCAATAAATGTTGATATTGTTCACATTCCTGCTCTCTTTTCCTTTGGTTCTGTGAATCTCTCTCTCTCTCTCTCTCTTACACTGTTCATCTGATTCACTCTCTCCCTCGTTTTGTCCTTAAATGTCACTCCCTCTCATCTAGGTCATGATACCCCACAGTCACACCTACCCCCAAAGTTGGCCAAACGGCTGAGGCGGGAGGCAGGTACTTTGCGTTCTCGAGAGCGGTCACTCAGCTGGGAAATGAGGGGAAGGTCTCAGGGCAGGAATGTGGGTGCTCCCTTTCCCAACTGCCCTCACGGGTTATCCTGGTGGTGGGCCGGGAGCAATGATACCTGAGTCCGGGGTGTCTTCCTGACTCGGGCCTCCCGTGCCTTGCGAATGTCCTCCTCCCCAAGGCCTTTGTCAGACCCATTCTGATGAAACCTCTGGACCTGAGAACTCCTACAAGACAACTGTGAGAGATAAGGACTTTGGTAAGGATTGGAGGACATGGGGCTCTTCTGGCCCTTTGAGGCCCCTCCCTCTCCTTTTACCCTCAGAATCCTCCCTCCCAACTCTTTCTCTTGGGGACCCTCCCAAGTCTTACCCACCAGTGGAGTCCAGGCCGCAGGGCCCCACAAGGCAGACCAGTAGCTCGGCCCTGCTGTCCACAAGTCCCCCTCAGTAGGACCCCTACCTCCAGCCACATTGCCTGAGGGAGAAGAGGAGGGGTTATTCAGTGGGGGTTGTGGGTCTCCCTGCTCTGCCCGACTCACAGCCCTTCGGGGGACCACCCTTGCTAAGTTCCTACTTCCAGAAGACTTCCATCTCTGTTAAGAGGCCCGCAGACTTTCTCCTGGTTCCCCTTCTTGTTGCTAGGAACCCCTAGATCTTCCCTGGCTCCTCCTCAAATCCACTTTCACCCAGCCCCACCCCTAGCCGTTGCTAGGGTCCTTTCCCCGTTGCTAGACACCCACAGATCCTTCAGGAATACCTTTCCACTTCTCTGAGTCTTCTTCGTTGCTAGGCACCCACAATTTCTCCCGTGTCCCCCCCCCAACTCCGTTACCGGGTACCTCCTCCCTCCCCCCGTTGCTAAGCACCCACAGAGGCTTAGCTCCGGGTCTGCAACGCATGAGGGCTCTTGCACTTCCGGGAGTCTCAGAACACCCACCCTCTCCGGTCAGGTAGCCAATAAAGAAGCAGCGGCTCACTGACTAGCACGAAACACACCCCACTGCGCGTAGAGGGCGGAGCTCAGGGCGGGGCCGAAGCGCTGGAGCGGGACCCAAGGGTGGGCGTTGGGGCCTGCTGGGACGCGGCTTGAGCACACACGTGACCTTTTATGTCCTTCCGCTGCACGCAGTAGTCCGTTCAGTACCCGACACCATTCTTTTGCCAGCAGCCTTCCTCCTTGTTTGTTTTCTGGCATGCTCAACACCTCTCCTTTCAACACACATAGTTCACAGCAAGCTTTCCACTTACACATGTAGCCACACCTACTCTTTGCTTCAAACACCCACATCCTGGCACCCAGCCGCCTCCTTTGCCCCTGTAAACCTCCTGCCTTTCTTTGCCAACTGTCTTTCACACCCTACTTCTCCCGTGTACTCTTATACTGAGCTCCCTGCACACTGGCTCCCTGTTCCCTCATACACCCAGCTTTCTCTTCGCTCTCCGCCCACCAGTAGGATGGTCTGAGTGGGAACCCTGCTTCCTGTAGGCCTGACATTTCCCAGAACACACTCAGCCAAGATTCCCAGTGCTGAGTCAGGAATCTTGGCATCCTATAAAACCAGCTCCCAACCCATCTGGGTGTGGTGGTGGGGTGGGGGGGGGAGAGGGAGGCGAGACAGGCTTAAAGCTCATTCCTCCAGCAAATTGACTCACCCCTCTCTTCAGTCTGGAATAGAAACAGCTGGCTGGGGCATCTCTCCCACTGCTGGGAGAGTGAGGACTGGGTTGCTTCCCCCATAGGCTCCCTCTCCTTGTTGAGAATCAGGCCTCCCTGTCTGTCTTCCTGTGCTGTGTGACGGTAGCTCAGTCCTCCACCCTCTCTGGGCCTCAGCTTCCCAGCCCCTACAATGTACCAAGGGGCTCCTGCCTCTGAATTCTCATTGGTCTGTAGCGATGATTCATTGTAGAGCCTAGAATGTCTGTCAGTGTCCTTCCTTCTGTGATTCAGCTTTAAGACAATACCAAACACTCCCCCCACCGCCAGTGAGGGTCTGACTCAGGAGCTGAGCGGCAGCTCACCCTTGGAAGCAAAGGCTATAAAAAGTATCTGTACAATAACCACCACTGCAGGGCTGTGGCTGACTGTTCCAGCCCAGGCGCCACCTGCTTCATATTCATGTTGTTAAGTCTCATCGAGGTTGTTCCAACTCATAACGATCCTGTATAGGGCTTCCGACGAGTGGCTGGAGGGTTTGAACCTCTGACCTTGCCGTAAGCAGTCCAGTGGTTATCTTACAGCACAGGTCATATCAAATATCCCAGTCACTACAAGCCAAAGCTTGAGGTTAGTAGACCTCTGAGCCTCAGTGTTCTCTTCTGTAAAATGGGACAATGGCATTCCCTCTTGCTTGGTGTTAGTTAAGAAGCAGTGAAATTGTGTCTGTGGAAAGCTGGGCACAGAGTCTGATACAGCACAAGTACTACATACACGAGAGAGATTCCTTATAGAAAATGTGTTATTTGCCAAAGGAGTCATGGTGGCACTGTGGGTTAGGCATTGGGCTACTAACCAGAAGGTGGGTGGTTTCACTGCTCTGTGGGAGAAAGATGAGGCTGCCTGCTCCCATAAAGGTTTATGGGAGTCTCAGACACCCTAGATAGGGTTGCTATGAGTTGCAATCGACCTGATGGCAGTGTGGGTTAGTTTGGTGTGCTTTTCCAGGTGTCTGGGACACAGCACGGGGCAAAACAGGCAAAAAGCCTTGCCTTATGGTGCTAGCTTATGGCAGGGGACACAAATGAACTAAGGATATGTGAGGGGGCTTCAAAAAGTTTGTCGAAAAATGGAATTAAAAGACAATGGAGCTTGGGATAAATGGGACAGAGGTAAATAGTGACGTATGTTCAACCTTGGAACAATAGGGCTGTGTGATACAGGGATCGAGGCATAGTCTGAAGAGGGGAAATAATACTAAGATGCTTGACTGTCGTATGAATATTGGTTTCCCTTGCCTACTATTGTAAAATAGACACTTGAGTGGGTTAGGAAGGAATGTCGGAAAACATGATTACAGAAAGCTTGTAAGCCTGTCTTCAGCCTATCACTGACTAGAATACCTGAAAGGGGTTCTAGAACTTGCCCAGTGAAATAGGTCTCTTGCAGAGCCTTCACAGTGTATAGGACCTTAGGTGGAATCCTAAGCCCCATCCAGAACCTTCTGAGGTGGGACATTCCCACTAGAAAGGACAAGCAGACCAGCCTGGAACAGCTAGAGCAACAGAAGATACATCTTCAAAGAAAGATCAGCAGGAAAAACCCAAAACAAAAATGGCAGTATGATCAGCTACTACAAAAATAAGCAAGTTGTTCACCGGAAAGCCATCTAGGCAAACAATCAAGTCCCTTCAGGACAAACCCCCCTCTGAGACTGAAACTCAGAGGGAACACATGAGCAGACATGTAAGCTTGCTGGCAACCACATTGGTGAGTGGAAGAGGGGGAAAGGCAGCAATGAAGAAATGGGCTGAGTTCAGCCATGCTCCATAGACTCCCATTGACCTGGAGATGAGACAGAGAAGAGGAAGGTCTGGTTGGTCCAAAGTTTGGTGAGACCTGGGACTCCTGAGCCCATGGACAAGGTCATAGCCACAGAGTGCTAGAGCTGAGAGTGAAGCATCCAGCTGATTTGAAGTAAGGGGAGATGCATAAGATGCCCAAACTTGCAGATAGTATCCATTTGACCTAGCCTCGATGGCTTGATAATCAGAACTTGACTAGAAGAAGGTTAAAGGAAACAAGTGTAAATTGCTATAATTTGATGAACTTGACCTATATTCATGGACCTATATACCAACAGAGAGGTAAGGAGTCTTCACATCAAGTATTAACCCTATCATCTTTGTATACAGGGTAGATAGGGACGGGCAACTTAGACATTGGCTACGTAAAATGTGGGGATGATAAAGGCACGAAGTGAATGGCTTACAAGTTTTCAAGAGGGAGTTTAGTTTCACAATGTGCAGGTAAAGGTAGAGTCCCCACTGAATAGTTTTCATCCTGTCTAGACGGGTCTGGTAAAAGAGATGAGGATACGATTCTTATGATTCAGTAGTGAGTAATTGCTATCATGACTAATTGCAACTGTTAAAACTGTAAAGGTAGATGTTTTATAACAAAAACGGGAGAGTAGTTAATCTTACAGTCCAGAAACAGAGGACCCTAGGACCCTCAAGGGAAAAGAGCACAAACAGAGTGTGGGGACCCTATTCAGAGAAGCAGCAACACTAGAGATGGAGGCAGACATGAGGACATGGAGAGAGGGAGCAGCTGAGGACTCCAGACTCATGGAAAAAGAGGGACTGAGAGCTGACGGCCCCGAGGCATGCTTGCAGAATGTGCCCTTTGGTTGTTTAAATTATTATATATTCCTGAGTGTTTTTGTGTACGTCTTCCCACCCTCCCCACCAAAAAAAAAAGAAAAACAGGGGGAATGGAAACAAATACTGTTGAATGATGATGTTCAGAGGAGATTGTAATCATTGCAATGAAACGATGGTGGATGGTGTAAAACCGATGTTCTCCCATGTAAACTATCACTCAGTTCACAATTTAAAAAAAAGACAATGGAATTTTCCCATGAGTTTTTTGAATCCCCCTTGCATGAAGCAGATGACAGAAAAATAGAATAGGGAAAAGGCTAGGAAATGGAGGGAAAATTATGACTTGAAATGGAGTTGTTCAGGAAAGTGTCACTGAGGAGGTGAACAAAGACCTGAAGGTGGTGAGACTATCAGGGGAAGAGCATTCTGGGCAGAAGGAACAGCTACTACAAAGCCTAGAGAAAGAAGGTGCTAAGTATCTGGAAGGGATAGGAATAGCCAAAAAGTTAGCCTGTGATGGCGAAATTCAGACAAACAGAAATTAAAAGAATTTGTAAAAACCAGACCAACCTTACAAAAAATATACTCAAAGGAGTCCTGGGGACAGAGACTTAGCAACATAAGCAACAACCTGAAACTTACATACATGACAATATCACCTAGACTCAACCCAGATATGTTGTTGTTAAGTGCCGTCAAGTTGGTTCCCACTCATAGTGACACTGTATAGGGTTTCCAACGAGTAGCTGATGGGCTTGAACTGCTGACCTTGAGGCTAGCAGCCCAGTGCTTATCCTAAAGCGCTAACCCAGGACTCCTAACCCAGGTATGTTGTTGTTAAATGCTAACATTTATGAGCTGGTTCTGACTCATAGCCACCCTGTGTAGGGGTTTCCCAGGAGTAGCTGGTGAATTTGAACCTTACATTCAAACCAACCTTGAGATCGAGTTGCCAACAGTGCCATACATACTAGGACTCAAACCCAGATATGTTGCTGATAAGTGCTATCAAGTTGGTTCCAACTCATAGCGACCCTGTATAGAGTTTCGGAGGAGTGGTGTGCAAAGTAAAACAGTTAAGACTAAAAAGAGAATCAGAGATAATGTTGCAACAACAAAAACATATAAAATAAAAAGAGGGAATAATGTAATTACAGAACTTCCAAATGACGAAGAAATCAAATAGATTTCAGAAACAAATAAAATCAAAATAAACCTGACCAACCCTAACCCAACCCTTACTCCTAACACTAACAATAAATGAAGTCCTAGGTCTAACCAAGACCTAGCTATAATTCCAAACCTCATTCCCTACCCCAACCCCTGCCATACCCTCCCACAAAAGTCAGTGAGTTAGGGGAGGAGAGGAAGGAGATGAGATGAAGTCATGCAGGTTGATGGATCCAAACCATACATGGTAGAGTGGGCTACAGTGTGCCTTTTACCCTGAATGGGATGGGAGCCGTGGCGGGTGCAGGAAGAGTTCTGGCAAAGAAGGGATGTGATATGATTTACAGACAATACGCTTACTTCTGGCTCTCTCTCCAACACTTCACAGCCTCAAAAACAAGTTATATCATCAAGAGGGATCCAAAGTCCAGACTTTGGATTAGACAGGCCTAGGTTCTTGCCACACCTTGGACTCTGGTTTGGCCTTTCAATTTTCCTTGCTTGTGTAATGGGGATGAGACTCAATCCTGCTTGTTGTTAGGTGCTGTGGAGTCAGTTCCCTACGAACTGAACACAACACTGCCCAGTCCTGCACCAGCCTCACAACAACTGGTAGGTTTGAGCCCATTGTTGGACCGTGTCAGTCCACCTCATGGAAGGTCTTCCTCTTTTTTGCTGACCCTCTACTTTTCCAAATATGATGTCTTCTCCAGGGACTGGTCCCTCCTGACAACATTTCTAAAATATGTAAGATGAAGTCTAACTATCCTCACTTTAAAAAAATGTTTTATTGTGAATTATGTGATAGTTTACATGGGCGAACATTAGTTTTACATTCTATCATATATTGCGTTTCCTTGCCATGGTTACAATCCCCTCCATGCATCATCAACCAACCAAAGAGTGTACATTACAAGCCTGCAGCCCAGTCATCAGCACACAGCCCCTCTCCCTCTCTGGGTCTATAGTCTCCAGCTGCTCCATCATCTCTCCACATCATCATCTCTGCCTCCATCTCTGGCATCACTACTTCTCTGGGTAGGGTCCCACTCTCCGCTCGTCTCCCTTGATGGTCCCAGGGACCTCTGCTCCTAGACTGAAAAGTTAATCACTCCCCTCCTTGCTACAAAACGTCTACTTGTACATTTTCAACCCCCACAATGTCCTGATAACAATTATTCACTATTGTATCATAAGAGACCTATCTGCATTTCCTTTCATCAGCCGTGCCTAGACAGATTGGTAACTATCCTCATTTTTAAGAAGCATCCTGGCTGTACTTCTTCCAAGACAGATTTGTTCATTCTTCTAGCAGTTTATGGTCTATTCAATATTCTTCTCCAACACTATCATTCAAATGCATCAATTCTTCTTTGGTCTTACTTATTGTCCAATGTTCACATGCATATAATGCAACTGACAATACCATGGCTTGGGTCAGGTGCACCTTAGTCCTCAGCAACATCTTTACTTTTTAACACTTTAAAGAAGAAGTCTTTTGAAACAGATGTGCCCACTGCCCAAAAGCTTTACTTCATCCACATTATTCAGGTTGATGCTAATTTCAGCACACAAGTCTTCCCCTACCTACTTCACAAGATTTTGGAATAAAATTGTAAGCACAATGGTTGCCTTAAAACTGTTTGCAATGTTGTAAATGAACTAATCCTGTGAGTTAGTTATCATTGCTAGCCCCCTTTTACAAATGAGGAAACTGAGTCTCCAAGGGACAGATCATACAGGAAGTGGGTGTTGAAGTTCAGACAAATTATTCCACTTCTCTGTGCCTGTTTTCCTGTCGGCAGATGTTCCTGACTGGTGGGAATGAAAACACATTTTTCCAAACAATTAAGAGATCACCTTGCATTCTCATTTTGCAAGTGAGTAAACTGAACCTGGGAATGGGAGGGGAGGAGTAGTGGAAATCACTTGCTCAAGAGGTGGTGGTTGGAACTAATGACTATAATAGTCCCAAGTTTTGAAAGTCCTCCATCCCTGCGTGAAGTATGGGCACACAGCTGGACCAGGAATTGTAGTTGTTGTGAAGTGCCATAAAGTCGGTTGCGACCCATTATAGAGTTTCCGAGAAGCTGGTGAACTTGAACTGCCTACTTTGCAGTTCAAACGGCTTTGCAGTCTGGTGCATTAACCCACAGCGCCACACTAGGACTCTGAGGGATTGTAGTAGGGAGGCTGAATTGGTCACTCTAGCGACCCTATGTAGAACAGAGTAGAACAGCTCCTTTAAGAGTTTCTGAGAAAGCCTCATCTTTCTCCCTAGGACCGCCTGGGGGGTTTGTACTGTTGACCTTGTGGTTATCAGCCTAGCCACCAAGGCTGCTTCACAGTAAGTGTTGTTATTAAGTGCTGATGAGCCAGTTCTGACTCATATACAGCGTTTCCGAGGAGTGGCTGGTGGGTCTGAACTGCTGGCCTTGCGATTATTAGCAGTCCAGTGTTTATCCTACAGTGTGCCACACCAGGACTCCTCATTCGAAGTGTGGTGGTTGGTTCCGACTCATAGCGACCCTGTAGAGTGTTTCCGAGGAGCAGCTGGTGAGCTTGAACTGCCAACTTTGCAGTTCAAACGGCTTTGCAGTCTGGCGCATTAACCCACAGCGCCACACCAGAACTCCTATAGGGTTTCCTAGGGAGGTTAAATTAGTCATGGGTCTAGGGAAGGGTCTTCCGCTTGGCCATTTCCAGACGTCCTTCTAGTCTCTGTCTGGTCGAGACACCAGTACGCTCAGGTGCGCCTGGATCGGGAGTCTGGCACTCTCACAGAAGAGCACCTACAACAGAGATGGGCGGAACCAAGTAGTCCCCGCCCTATGTTAAGTCACGTCCTGTGGAGGCGGGGCCTCGGGCTTTCCCCTAGAAGGGGGAGTATCGGTTAACCCTTGTGTGTCCGGGCGAACCGGAGTTCCGCGGGCCGGAACCCGAGAGTCGGGCCTCCACAGCCACACCCCTCGTAGGACTTAAAGGGGCCGGGCGGGACCGAAGTTCGAATTGAGGGACTAGACATGAGGCGCTGCCTGTGCCAAGGGAGCCTAAACGAAGCAAAGTCCGGGGCGCTGCCCGAAGCGGCCCGCATGGGATTGGAGGCGGCGCCAGGGGGGCGGCGGCGGCAGCCGAGACTGCAGCGACCGGGATCGGGCGATCTGGGCCTGGCGGGGCGGCCGGAGGGGGGCGGGCCCGGGGCCTGGACCGAGAAGTCGGACATTCACACTGAACCGGAGACCTGTCTCGGGCCTGAGTCGGGTACAGACGGTCCTGGGACAGAATCCAGGACAGACGGACTGGCTGAATTCGAGGCAGCTGGCCTCGGAGTTGAGACTGAGAGCCCCAGCTATAAGATAGAGCCAGATAGGTCCTGCCTTCAGACAGGTCCAGAAAGGAACAGCCCAGAGCTGATGAGGGCCGGTGGTTGGACAGAGACTTTGAGAGATGGTTTTTGGACTGACCCACAAAGGTCCGACCTCCAGAGGTGCCCAGAGACGGCCGATCTCTGTACACAGCAAGGGGCTAATGAGAACTGTACAAAGCTGGAAACAGATGTGCCTCAGATCCTGCCAGAAGAGGACAAGCTCTGGACTGATGGTGTCTTGATTCACCAGAACAGGCCTCAGGTCCCAACTAAGTCGGAGTGGGACTGTTCCTCAACAGACCCAAGAGCTGATGACTCTTGGAAAGAAATGTACGCTGATGACTCCAGGACACAACAGGATTCTGAAGGTGCCCGGACAGAGCCACACACAGAGCCTAGCCTTGATGGTTCCCCAACACAAGATACTGATGGCTTCTGGACACAGCCTGGGAAAGACGACATTTCAGAAGAGCCCAATGGAGATGGCCCAATAGAGGAACCAGAGACTGGGGAACTGGTGACTCACCTGTACTCTCACCTGGAGTGTAGTCCCCTGTGCTCTGTGCCCCGCCTCATCATCACCCCTGAGACCCCAGAGCCTGAAGCCCAGCCAGTGAGACCCCCCTCCCAATTTGAGGGGGGCAGTGGTGGCTTCTCCTCTGCCTCCTCTTTCGATGAGTCTGAGGATGACGTGGTAGCCGGGGGTGGAGGTGCCTGCGACCCTGTGGACAGGTCTGGGGTGAGTGGGACCCACCTGCCCCTGAGCCACATCCCCTTGCCTGGAACTGACACATTCTCCATGGCCTTTCTCTCAGCTCCACACTAGCAATTTCATCTCCAACCACTGACTTTCCCCCTCTAGCACCCTTGCTTACTAACCCTTTCCAGGGACACCCCCCTCAAGTTTCTCCTCTCCTTTTTCCCTGCTTTCGGCTTCTAAAATGGGGGGCGGTTGGGTGACTTCAAGAACCCCTGAAACTGTGAGGTGATGTATATGCACACCTATTTTTGCAGCAAGGTTTTGTAAATTCCAGCAGTCCTTCTAGAGAGGCTATCCCACAAGCCTGAAGATCAATAATAAGGAGACAGACAGGGCATGCTTTCCACCTCAGGTGTCCCTACCTGGGACTGGGTCTGCCTTAAGGGGTCTATTTCTCCACGTTTGAGCTCACTTGTACAGTTTTCTAGGGAGTAAATCCCTAGCTTTCATCAGAATCTTAAAGGGCACTGTTGGACCCCAACCTAGCCAGAGGTTCTCCCAGTGTTCCTCACACCCACTCAGGCTGGTTTTCCTTCTCAGGGACCCCAGCAGTCGCTTGTTTATGGCTCCCACCCTCGCCCCCAGCTTGGGTGTGGTTCGTGAATCAGGAGGGCAGGCTGGGCAGGTTTTGCCTCACATAGGTCTGGGAAAAACTGCCAGCCTGCCAGCCCGGTCCTTCCATCCTCTGGGACCCTCAGTAGTGTCAGCCTTAGGCTCCCTGACCCCAGCATTTCCCTACCTTGGGGATATGTTCGTTCACACATGTACCCATGGACATCAGAGACAGACAGACCCGCCTCCACTTACCTGTGCTGTCTAAAGGAGTTGGCCCTCCGGGGCTTTCTGCCTGTGCTTTTTTCCATGCATGCTCAATCACCAAAGCTCAGTGGCTCTATAGAATAAGTACTGGAAAATGAACAATAAGGTCCGTGGTTCGAAGCCACCAGCCGCTCTTCGGGAGAAAGATGAAGTTTTCTGCTCCCATAAAGACTTAGAACTTTGGAAACTCTATATAGGATTGCTCTGTGGATTAATGCGTTTAACTACAAGGTCAGTTTGAACCATAAGGTTGACGGTTCAAGTTCACCATGCACTCCTCAGTATTGCTATACAGGGTCACTATGAGTCAGAACTGACTGGACAGCACTTAACAACAACAATGAGTTAGAACAGACTCTACAACGCTTAACAACAACTCACTCACCACTTTGGCATTTCAAGCTTTGTTGTTGTTAAGTGCCGTGGAGTTGATTTCGACCCATAGCGACCCTGTATAGGGTTTCCAAGGAGCAGCTGGTGAGCTTGAACCACTGACCTTGAAGTTCAAATGACTTTGCAGTCTGACGCATTAGCCCAAGCTAGAAGTAGGTAAATAGCACTGCTTCTAATAGTAAGTAAGGAAGTAGCTCACATGTACTAATGCCCAGTTCAATGCTCAACTCTTTTAACTCATTTAATCCTCACTTGAGCCCTATGAGGAGATACCAGCTATTATTATTCCCATTTTATAGATGAGGAAAATGAGGCACATTGTGGTAAAACTGATAGTCCAGGGTCACATACCTTGGAAGACACTGAGCTTAGTCAAACCCAAGCCATCTAGCTCCAGAACCCACGCTTTCAAATACTGCACCCCTGTGCCTTTTATTAAGGATCCATGGTGACACTGTGAGTTAAGTGTTGGGCTGCTAACCACAAAGCCGGTAGTTCAAACCCAGCAGCTGCTCCTCCGGAAAAAGATGGAGCGGCTGCTTCCGTAAAGATTTACAGTCTCAGAAATCTATGGGGCAATTCTACTCTCTCCTATAGGGTCACATGAATCAGAATGGATTTGGTAGCAGTGGGCTTTCTTTTTTACTTTGGGTGCCTGGTGGTACATGTTGGGCTACTAACCAAAAGGTTGATAGTTCAAACTCACCAGCTGCTCTTTGGGAGAAAGATGAGGCACTTTGCTTTGGCAAAGATGTACAGACGACTGTGTCCTATAAGGTTGCTGTGAGTTGGAATTCGTTTTTTTTCTTTTAGTTTGATATCTTTTATTATGACTATGTTGTTGTTGTTGTTAAGTGCCATCGAGTCGGTTCCGACCCATAGCGACCCTGTACAGGGTTTCTGAGGGTGTAAATCTTTATGGGAGTAGAAAGCCTCATCTTTCTCCCGTGGAGCGGCTGGTAGTTTCGAACCGCTGACCTTAAGGTTCGCAGCCTGATTTGTAACCACTATGCTACCAGAGCTCAAGCAACAAAAAATAAACAGCAAAAAAATCCCCTGCTGCCAGCAAGATGAATTCAACTATGTTGTTAAGTGCCGTCGAGTCAATTCTGACCCATAGCAACCCTGTATAGGGTTTAAGAGGAGCAGTTGATGAGCTTGAACCGCCGACCTTGCAGTTCAAACGGCTTTGCGGTCTGGCTGGTGCATTAACCCACAGCGCCACACCAGCACTCCACTGAAATCAACTATAGTGATCCTATATAGGTTTTCTAAAACTGTAAATCTTTACAGGAGAAAGTCTTCCTTTTCTCTTGCAGAGCCGCTGGTGGATTTGAACTGCCGACCTTGTGGTTAGCAGTCCAATGCTTATCCTACAGTGTCACAGCAGGACTCCACTAATGATCATTTGTTATTTTTGTTGTTTAGTGCCATCAAGTCAGTTCTAATTCATAGTTACCCTGTATAGGGTTTCCAAGGATTTGAACCACCGACCATTGCAGTTCAAACCGATATTGTTGTCCTGTGCATCTCCTACAGCACCACACCTAATGACCATGTTGTTGTTGTTGTTGTTAAGTGCTGTCGAGTTGGTTCCAACCCATAGCAATACTATATAGGGTTTCCGAGGAGCGGCTGGTGAGTTTGAACTGCCGACCTTGCAGTTCAAACCAACCTTGTGGTCAAGTGCTTATCCTACGGCACCACACAGTAGCCAACCTTTACTGTGCACGTATGGACGCCAGGCTCTATCCTAAGTCATTTACTTGTATTTACTCTTTGAATCCTCAGAACAGCACTAGAAGCTTGGGATTCCTTTTATCTCCATTTCCCAGATGGAATCCAGTCAGAGAGAAGTGAGGCTACTTGCTTAGGGTTGGCCAGATCCCATCAGAGTCAGGATTCTTATTCAGTTCTGGCTGAGTTTAAAATCCAGTCATTTTAACCCCTGCAGTGTTGCTCAGTCCCTAACTTGCTCTCTTCTCAGACCTCCCTGTCTTCAGTGTTTCCTCATCCTTCCAGGATCTGCCGCCCTGGCCCAGCTCTGATGAGACATATCTCCTTCCATAGCTCCCCAGGGTCTTCGTGAAAGCGGTCAGAACCTCAGTCCTGTGTTCAGAGCTTCTTGTCTTCAGGCTTCTCCTGTTTCCTCCTGAAACCCTCTGCTGTCACCAACCTAAGTACACACTGTTCCTACAACACCCTGTGACATCTGCCTTCATATTGCTTAAGCTGGTCCCACTGCCCAGAATACCCTTACTTCCTTCCTTTTCCCTCTTGCTTCATTTTAAAATCCTGTTCAGCCTTCAAGACCTCACTTCCTTTCCTCTTTCTTCTTTTCCTCCTTTCTTCTTCCCTTCCTTTTCAAATCCATCCTGGACTCTTAATCAGACCATGGTCCTTGAGCACCTACTATGTGTCCGTCCCAGTATTGCCTTTGCTGGGGACACAGACCGCTCCCTGATCCTGCCTTCCTGGGTCTCCCAAGCCAGTGGGGGCAAACAGACACATCAGTGGAGCACCTGAGGAATCCAAGAGGGCTTCCTGGAAGGGGTGGCTTATGAACTAAGACCATCATGAAACCATCTGCGAAAGCATTTGTTGTTGTTAGTTAGTTGCCCTCCAGTTGAGTCCGACTCAAGATGACCCCATATGTACAGAGTAGAACTAAATGCTCCTTAGAGATTTCCAGGCAGGGATGTTTTGGAAGCAGATCTTTAGGCCTGTCTTCTATGGGTGGGCTCTGACTGGGTTGACCACCAACCTTTTGTTGAGTAGTTGAGCGGTTAACCATTCACAGCCTCAGGGACTCCTAGATTAATCATTAGATTTGAAGAAAAAGATTTGATAAAAAAAAAAAAAAAAAGCCTCAACTAACATTCTTCAAGTAGCGTGTTGTGTTATGAGTCCTTGTTGTGTGCTAGGCCATGTGCTGGGGACAGTCATGACTCTAACCAGCCAGTCCCTGCCCTCATGAGGGTATAGTAGAGGGGTAACGCCAAGAGGGTGAGGTCACAGCAGAGCTGGAATCCCAGCTCTGGGCTTGCTGTGTGATGTTCGGCAAGTGACTTCACCCCTCTGGTCCTCTACTTCCTCTTTTGTAACCCAGAGACAACAAGCCTCCTGGGATTGTTTTTAAGGTTAAGTAGGTTATGGCACACTAAGTCTTTGTCATTGTGCTTGGAATGTTCCAGGTGTTTATTACACAGGAACCTTTATTAATCACCTCCTCCTCAGGGGAGGGAGGGACTAGCCCTTCCGGAATTCTTCAGGCAGCTGGCTCTGAGGGAGTGGGAGAGAGGGAAGAGTCACACAACTTCCTTCTCTGGAGAACACCCAGCGCCCTTGCCCTCCAATCTGCTATGTAGCCATCCTATAGGTCAGGATATGGCGCTGGGAGTTAATGCGCCAGACTGCAAAGCCTTTTGAACTGCAAGGTCGGAGGTTCAAGCTCATCAACTGCTCCTCAGAAACCCTATACAGGGTCGCTATGGGTCGGAACCAACTCGATGGCACTTAACAACAACATAGGTCAAGGTAGAGCTGTCCCCTGCAGAGTTTGTTGTTGTTGTTGTAAAGTGCCCTTGAGTCGGTTCCAACCATAGTGACCCTGTCTAGGTTTGAGTCGCCAACCTTGCAGTTCAAAGGGCTTTGCAGTCTGCCACATTAACCCACAGCACCACACCAGGACTCCCAGTCTTTCCAGAACCAGACTCCTGTGGAGCAGCGGGTGGGTTCAAACTGCCGACCTTTTAGTTAGAAGCTGAGCGCTTAGCCATTGTGCCACCAGGGCTCCTGGGAGGAGAGCTCCCTGCCCCAAAGTGCCTGCTATGTTCTTAGGGCAGAGAGCATGTCTGAGTGTGTGTGAGCATGAGAGTGTGTATGAGTGTGTTTACGATTGGGTGAGTGTGGTTGTGTGTGTGGGCATATGTATATGAGTGTGAGCGAGTGTGTATGATTATGTGAGTGGATGTGTGTGAGAGTTGAGTGTGTGTGGTTGTATGAATGTATGAGATTTGTATATAACTGAGCAAGTGTGCGTGGCTGAGTGTATATGCTGAGTGAACGTGAGTATGTAGTTGTCTGTATGAGTGTGTGAGCGAGTGTGCCTGATTGTGTATGATGGTGTGCGTGTGTGTGTGTGTGTGATCAAAATGTAATCTTGTCCCAACAAAAGCTCTTGGTGAGTCAGCACTGTGCAACCCGATGCCTGGGTCAAGTGCTCATCCTTCTTTCCTTCCTGTCCTGACAGTCTATGCTTATGGCTCTCTGTCTGTCTCTCCTGACTACGTGTCTACCTGGTAATCAGGTTCTCAGTGACTTGGAACAACAAAGAGTTGTTTTTATTTCCACAGCTCCATGGGGGTGAGGGACTCTGTGAATCTTTAGTTGGTGCCTGGCTGAGGGAGGCTCTAACCCAGGAAAGAACGAGTCACACACTGGTTCTTAAGGATTTTGCCGAAAAGACCCATCTGGTCACAGTTCATTGGGCAAAGCAAGTCAGTCACCCAAGTTGAGGAGGACAGGGGAGCCCCTAGAGAGTCTCTTTGTCCCTGTCTCTCTGTCACTAATCTGTCACCCATCTTTCTCTTTCTCTCGGTGGGTCTACCTCCAACCATCCACTTCTACCTCTTTTTCCCTGGAAGATCTGCCCTGGCTTATGGGCAGAGATAGGGCGTCTAAGTTTTCTGTCTCTATGTGTGTGTCAGGAGAAGGGAGTTAGGGTGAGATCATTGTCATTGTTAAATACTGTCAAGGCGATTTTGCTTCAGAGCAACCCTGGGTACGGGTTTCCCAAGGGTCCAAGTCTTTGTGGGAGCAGTAAGTCTCATCTTTCTTGTTGTGGCTGGTAGGCTCAAACTGTCAATCTTGTGGTTCGCAGCCCAATGCTTATCCTACAGAGTCACTGCATTCCCCTGGTGAGAGTAGGAGGTTATTTGTTACCACAGCAAAGCTTAGCCTATTCATACTCACACCATGGCTCGTAAGGCCTGTGTGAACCAGTGAGGACAGAGAAAGAGAGAGACACAGGTAGAAAGAAAGTGATACCGACAGAGACACAAACCCCTCCCCTTCTTTTACCATGTCCTTAGGGGGGATCCTGTAAGTGTTGCGCTAGGTGGGATCTGACAAGCATGGGAACAGCAGTACCAAGAAGCCCCCCACCTCTAGAAAGATCCCAGGTCTCCCTCAGTTACAGCCTCCCCTACTCCCACCCCTCCCTGGCCTTGTCCCTGACCCTGCCCTGTTCTGTCCCACACAGAACAGACCATGGAAGAAGCTGAAGACAGTTCTGAGGTATTCTCCCTTCGTGGTCTCCTTCCGCAAACACTACCCTTGGGTCCAGTTGTCCGGACATGCTGGTGAGAGCTGGGGGCGGTGGTCAGAGATGCCTGGGGCTGGGGAAAGGGCCGCTCCCTCTCTGTGCTTTAGTTACTCCATCTGTAAAATGCACTTGGTGATCACCCCCATCTTTTGGTTGTTTTAGGAAGCACTTAGGCCTGGTCTCGAGTTTCCTGATATAGTGGGGAAAGGGCCCAATTTGGGGGCATGTGGACCTGGAGTACAATCCTCCTGCTTTTTATTCATGGATGGTCTTGGACAAATTCGTTTCCCTTGCCGGGCCTCTGTTTCCCCATATGTATATGGGGATAACCGTTCTTCCTTTTAGGGGTTGACGGAAGAATTCCAATCAAAATATGTATCAGGACTGAGACATAGTTTGCTCATAAGCGAAGTTGTCATTCACTGTCCCTTCCTTGTGCCCAGCATAGTAACCCCCAAAACTCCAACCCACAGCCATCAGTTCTGAAGCATAGCAACCCTATATAAGGTTTCCGAGACTAAATCTTGACGGGAGAAGACACCCTTATCTTGAACCTCCAACTTTGCAATTAACAGCCCAGTATTTACCCCACAGTGTCACCAGGGTGCCTTAGCACATAGTTGTTGTTGTGTGTTGTTGGGTCATAGTGACCCTGTAAAGGGTTTCCGAGGAGCAGCTAGTGGGTTTGACACCAACCTTGTTATTGTTATGTGCCGTGGAGTCGGTTCCAACTCATAGCGACCCTGTATAGGGTTTCCAAGGAGCAGCTGGTGAGCTTGAACCACTGACCTTGAAGTTCAAATGACTTTGCAGTCTGACGCATTAGCCCAAGCTAGAAGTAGGTAAATAGCACTGCTTCTAATAGTAAGTAAGGAAGTAGCTCACATGTACTAATGCCCAGTTCAATGCTCAACTCTTTTAACTCATTTAATCCTCACTTGAGCCCTATGAGGAGATACCAGCTATTATTATTCCCATTTTATAGATGAGGAAAATGAGGCACATTGTGGTAAAACTGATAGTCCAGGGTCACATACCTTGGAAGACACTGAGCTTAGTCAAACCCAAGCCATCTAGCTCCAGAACCCACGCTTTCAAATACTGCACCCCTGTGCCTTTTATTAAGGATCCATGGTGACACTGTGAGTTAAGTGTTGGGCTGCTAACCACAAAGCCGGTAGTTCAAACCCAGCAGCTGCTCCTCCGGAAAAAGATGGAGCGGCTGCTTCCGTAAAGATTTACAGTCTCAGAAATCTATGGGGCAATTCTACTCTCTCCTATAGGGTCACATGAATCAGAATGGATTTGGTAGCAGTGGGCTTTCTTTTTTACTTTGGGTGCCTGGTGGTACATGTTGGGCTACTAACCAAAAGGTTGATAGTTCAAACTCACCAGCTGCTCTTTGGGAGAAAGATGAGGCACTTTGCTTTGGCAAAGATGTACAGACGACTGTGTCCTATAAGGTTGCTGTGAGTTGGAATTCGTTTTTTTTCTTTTAGTTTGATATCTTTTATTATGACTATGTTGTTGTTGTTGTTAAGTGCCATCGAGTCGGTTCCGACCCATAGCGACCCTGTACAGGGTTTCTGAGGGTGTAAATCTTTATGGGAGTAGAA